CTGTTGATTGTGTGTCCCTTGGTTATGCTATCCACAGTGTGGGTTATAGATTCTTAATAGTAAACTCTGGAGTACCCGACATGCATGTTGGTACAATTCTTGAGTCCAGAGATGCTACATTCTTTGAGAATGAATTTCCTATGAAACATACACCTAGCACTTCTAGTAAAGAAACTGTCATGCCCCATGAGCACTTTGCACCGATAGAACACAATGATCAAACGCCTGAGGAAAATCCTGAGGAGGACAACATTGTAGATACTCGCAAGAGTAAGAGACAAAGGGTTGCAAAATCCTTTGGAGATGACTACATTGTATACCTCGTGGATGACACTCCAAGAACCATAGAAGAGGCATATTCATCTCCTGACGCTGACTACTGGAAGGAAGCAGTACGCAGTGAAATGGACTCGATTATGTCTAATGGTACTTGGGAAGTCGTTGAGCGTCCATATGGGTGCAAGCCCGTAGGATGCAAATGGGTTTTCAAGAAAAAGCTTAGGCCTGATGGTACAATCGAAAAGTACAAGGCAAGGCTTGTGGCCAAGGGTTATACCCAAAAGGAAGGCGAGGACTTCTTCGACACATACTCACCAATTGCTCGCTTGACCACGATTCGAGTACTACTTGCTCTGGCAGCCTCTCATGGTCTTCTCGTCCATCAGATGGACGTTAAGACAGCTTTCTTAAACGGAGAGCTGGAGGAGGAGATCTATATGGATCAACCAGACGGGTATGTACTAGAATGTCAGGAGGGAATGGTGTGTAAACTGTTGAAATCCTTGTATGGCCTCAAGCAAGCACCTAAGCAATGGCATGAGAAGTTTGACACCACGCTTACATCTGCAGGCTTTGTTGTGAACGAAGCTGACAAATGTGTATACTATCGCTATGGTGGGGGAGAAGGGGTGATCTTGTGCTTATATGTCGATGACATATTGATCTTTGGGACCAGCCTTAATGTGATTGAGGAGGTCAAAGACTATCTGTCCAAGAGTTTTGAAATGAAGGATTTGGGAGAGGCTGATGTTATTCTTAACATCAAACTACAAAGAGGAGATGAGGGTGGGATTACACTTGTGCAATCCCACTATGTGGACAAGGTTTTGAGTCGCTTTGGATATAGTGACTGCAAGCCAGCTCCTACTCCTTATGATCCCAGCGTGCTATTAAGGAAAACCCGAAGAATAGCAAGGGATCAACTGAGATACTCTCAAATCATTGGTTCATTGATGTACTTGGCTAGCACAACGAGGCCTGACATCTCATTTGTTGTAAGCAAGCTGAGCCGGTTTGTCTCAAATCTGGGAGATGATCATTGGCAGGCTCTAGAAAGAGTAATGCGCTATCTAAAGGGCACTATGAGCTATGGAATTCATTATACCGGGTATCCAAAAGTACTAGAAGGGTATAGTGACTCAAACTGGATATCTGATGCTGATGAGATAAAAGCCACAAGTGGATATGTGTTCACACTTTGAGGTGGCGCTGTTTCCTGGAAGTCTTGCAAGCAGACCATCTTAACGAGGTCAACAATGGAAGCAGAACTTACAGCACTAGATACTGCGACAGTTGAGGCCGAGTGGCTTCGTGAACTCCTGATGGATTTGCCGGTGGTTGAAAAACCAGTGCCAGCTATCCTAATGAACTGTGATAATCAAACAGTGATTATTAAAGTGAACAGTTCAAAGGACAACATGAAGTCATCTAGACACATCAAGAGAAGACTGAAATCTGTCAGAAAGCAGAAAAACTTCGGAGTGATAGCATTGGACTATGTCCAAACGGCTAGAAATCTGGCAGATCAGTTTACCAAGGGGCTACCACATAATGTGATAGACAGTGCATCGAGGGAAATGGGCTTGATACCCACCTAAGGTTGCATAATAGTGGAAACCTGTCCATTGTGATCGGAGATCCCGTGAATTTCGATGGTGAAACAAACTATCGTGTGACTGAAAGAAGAGACCCTTGAAAAGGGCTCATTTTCATGATGTGCTTCTCTTCTTTTCTGCATGGTAGGATGGCTTATGCCTTAATGTGATCCGAGTGGCTTTTCCAAGCAGAGATGTTGACCTGCAGAACATCTCAGAAGGAACACACCTATATGAGTTTGACTGCTAGTCACAGTCTATGAGGTTTGGGCGATCTCAAGATACTCATGAAAGACCTGGAGTTTGACTTATATGCTCCAAACAGAAGGGATGCGAACGGCAGCCCAGTACCAGTCAAGGTTCTGAGTGAAACTTGATCACACAAAACTGACAATTCAAGGCATAGTCCATTGTTCAGTTGTGGTCTAATGTAGCTATTTCCTAGGTGGAAGTTCAACTTAACAGTCTCCACCAAAACCCTGGTATATCAAACAGGCACAACATTGAGAACATTTCTTATGAGCCTTAAAATTTGGTGGGGATTGTTAGAATAATTGAGCTAGGCCCAACTTATAATATTAAATCTCAAAGGCCCATAATAAGTGTTGAGGATAATAATACTACCTCAGGATTTAAGCGAGGAATATCTCAACCTAAATAGGGAGTTATTGGAGGCTCCCTGTTGACCAGTTGAGGTGGGGGTCGGAATGCCACGCGCGCGCGCGCGCGCCGGGCCAGGCCAAGGCTGAGGGCGTGGGCGTGGGCGTGGCGAGGCGTGGCTGACTGGCTGGCGGCGTGCGTGCGTCACGTCGCTATCCTTTTGCAGCCACTAACCCACGTTCCCACGATTCCCTCCGCAACAGCGTGTCCACGTTCTTTCTCCTGATAGATAAGGAGGCCGCGAGTCCGATCCGGTTTCATCGCTTCTTTCCCGGTGTTAGTTTCTCCTTCTCCGCGCCTAAGTTGCTCTCGCTTCCTCGCTTCTGATCTCTTGCGCGCACGAGAGATTGGAAGGAGCAGTGCCTCCGAAACCACACCTTCGCCTGAGATCTGCACCGGGTAGGCGGGTGATCAGGTTCTTGGGGAGTGCCTCCCGCACGACTGCTCATCGCCATGTCTGGAGTTGCCGCCGCCGCTGCTGGAGGAGATGGCGGAGGTGGTGCGCCGCCGACAGGAGCCGGAGCTGGTGCGCCAGGAGGAGCCGGAGCTGGTGCGCCAGGAGGTGCCGTGAACGACAACAACAACGGAGGCACCATCCAGCGGAGGGCCATTCTCGGGGTATAATCTTCTCCTCCTGTTCCTGTTGTTAGCGCTATTCCTGTTCCCATTGTTAGCGCTATCGCTATACTATGTGCGCTATGTTCTTGTTCCTGTTCTTCATGATGCCTCTAGCATGTTATTGCGTTACTGTTATGTTCCTGTTCCTGACATTCATGATGCGCATAATATGCTACTGGTTATGTTAAGATCACTCTACACTGCTTATGCCATGATTATTGCTTTAACATTTTGGATTAAAATATGCCGATTAATTACTATATTTCCAACGGAACGGTGTCAGTGGTGTTTAGGATAAGGTCGAGATACATATATGTGCCTGCAGCTTCGGCGAAACTGATTTGCAAGTATTATATACATGCAGATCTATTTATACTTCGTATCACTGACAAATTTTTGTAGTACTACCTGCTATAATGTAAGCCATATGATTAGCTAGTGTGGGGTACTACTTTAGCATCAGGCCGGCAATGGACTGATCGATGCTAACGAAGGCTTAGTGACAAAGCATGCCCTGTCCCAGACAACCTGCTAACAAGTACTTGCTGTACTTTAATTTCACCACTATTTGTGTACTCTGTGGTTTTCCCTGCTAATAGTCATAAATTCATAATGGCATTTTTTTTTATTCTGTCTTCAGATGACCCACCATCATCATCACCATCCTCTCGATGGTGATCTGTTGATCGATTGTATATATACAAAATCCTAGTGCTTCAGATAGAAGCTAAGCACATCTATGATCTATCCAAAGAGGCACACACATAGTTCAAAAAGCCCATGAAAAGAATGCAAGAAAAGAGGTGTACATGGTCATGGAGAAGGAATATTGGTCGGTGGAGCCTTATCTAGCTAGTGATGCATTAGCCAATTGGGGATATCACCGCGGTTGGTAGCGAGCATCCTCATATACATTAAGCCTAGCTAACCATGCACAGAAGTTTGGTGCTTATTAATTTGTTTGTTTGGTGAACAATGTATTCGATTTGGCCCAGCTAGGTTGACACATGTAGGACTATGTTGTGGCGACGTCCTACTATCTCACTTCTCACCAGAGCAAACTATCCAGTTCAGTGGTTGAGGATTTTGAAATGATCGATAAATCTTTTTTCAACTTGTGCAGTTGTGCTATGGACTAAAATCCCCCCTTCCTTAAAGCATGAGAGCTATGGCACGTGGATATTGTGGTTTGAGAGGATAAATTTCCGGTTTTAGAGTTTGGGGTGCTAGCTAGGACGTTGGTTTAAAGCACGGGTGGATCCGAGGCCTGACGACCAAGGTTTATTAGCGGGTAACATCACAGTAATAGCTTCTATATTTCCAATGTTTAATTAACTACATAAATACTTGTCCATATGCTCTAGAAAATTTCTGAACCCGCTCTGGTTCAAACTTTTGTAGGGTTTTAATAGAAGCATTTAAATTTTTGTAATTTTTATGTACCTTTTAAGCGAGTTGGAATAAATGCTTCTTGTAGGCAGAGGTAATTCAGAATTGATAGCCAAAATGACCTAACGGTAAGAACCTTTTTGGTCAACACTAATTGTGCATGAAAACCAATTGGGAGTTTCCTTCGCTGCTTCTGAACAACAATTGAACAGGGTTGCAACTGGCAAGACATTTCTGAAGATCACAAAAACAAAATGCACAGCTTTCCAACCAATCTTCCAAGGATTTCTGAACTAGTACAAAGTACATAGAAAAAAAAATTAGCTAACACATGGTCCTTTGCAGTTTGCACCAATTTGCTCACTGTATGCTACACTTGCACGGGATGACGGGAGTATTATATTCGTTCAGACATTGTTAGTGCGTTACCTTTTGCCCTCCGATCATATGATACACTGATTTTATTGTACTTTGAATATATTATTATACACAAATTTTAATTAGTACAAACATAATACAACCGGATGAGATGATACACAAGGAATGCAGATAGATAATTCACATTTTTTGCAGAAATTTTATGGTTTTTTTGCAACTTTTTTTTCTTTTTTGGCTTGAAGTTGCCACTGTTTATGAACTAGCAAGCTGCTCTCTGCGCAATATAATGGCGCGGTTGGTCGCGAGGCTCGTCGTGCCGTACACCGGCAGCTCGTCGCCGTCGGCGCCGCGGAGGCTCTCCAGCTCGAAGAGATCGGAGCTCGCGTCGCTGCCGTCCTCGTCCTCCTCCACATCGGCGAGGCTCCGCACCAGCTCCTCCACCCTGCGCCGCACCACCGACGTCTCGGCGCCGGGGCAGAAGCGTACGGACCTCCGCTCCGACGCCTTGGTGTTCGACGTCGTCGTCGCCGCCGCCGACATGCACGGTGGCTGCGGAACCGGCGGCGATGCCGGCGGCAGAGGGACGGCCGTTGGAGCCTTGGGCTTTCTTGGGAGGCGCGACGAGGAGAACAGCGCCTTGACGACGCACGCGAACGTGGCCGGCGACGGGCCGGATGACGACGGCGGTGGCGGCGGCACTGTGCCTCTTGGCCGCAGCCTTGCTCCAGGGAAACACGGCCGGCTCTTCTTCTTCTTCTTCTTCGGTTTGCTGTTCGGTGGCGCGGCAGCGGCGGCGGCGGCGGCGGCGTCGACGTCCTCCGGCTGCTGCGGCGGAGGCTGGCTGTGGCGTCTCCGGTGCGTGGTCGACTCCGTGTCGGTGGTCGACGCGGACGAGCAGGTGAAGCTGCTGTAGCTGGACGACGACGCGTCCGACGACGAGGCGGTGGACGACGCGTACCCCGAGTGCCGCGGGCGAGCCACCGACTCGCGACGGCTCCTGCCCGCGGCGCCCGCCGCCTGCTTCGACTTGGCCCACCAGAACTGCGGCGGCACGGCTGCCGCTGCCGCTGCCTTCATCTCCTCCGCCTCCGACCGCCGCGCGTCATCGACGACAGCACCCGCGCCATCGCCACCCCCTCCCTCGTCCAGAGAACGGTAGATCGCGTCGAGCAGCGACGCCGAGAACGACCCGCCCGCGCCGCCGCGCGCCCTCCGCGGCGGCGCCAGCGTTGGCGGCGCGTTCTTGCCGTGGCATTGCCGCCGCTCCATACCAAACAAAGTAACAAAAACCACCCAAATCTCAGCAAAATATCACCAAATGGCGCGCGCGACAAAGGGATCAGGCAAGAAATTCTATATACGCCGAGGAGATCAAGACGTGCGCGGAGGTGGAGGATTATATAAACACAAGCTGCAGGGGGGAGTGGAGCGGTGGTGGCAGCTGCAGCTGCATGCGTTGGCATGTGCACTTCCGTCCCGTGGATCTCACTCGTTCGTCACCAACCTGCCGCGAATTATTGGCAGTGAGTGGCTTGCTATTATCACTTGAGAGAAGTTGTGAGATCGCGTCGTTTTCTTGGTGAAAGATGCAATTGACGGACGAGCTTGACTAGAACTCTGTACCTGGATTCTGTCAGACTGTCAGGGTCTCAAGAGAACTTCCAAAACCAGTTAAGGCCTGATTTAGTTTCTAACTTTTTCTTCAAACTTCTAGCTTTTTCATCACATCAAAATTTTTCTACACACACAAACTTCTAACTTTTCCATCATATCGTTTCAATTTCAATCAAACTTTCAATTTTTACCTGAACTAAACACACCCTTAAACTTATGGAATGGGACCAGGAGTGAACAGTGACGTGGCCCATTCCGGCGGCCCCCTGACCAGCTCAGCTTGCCCATGTCCTTCACTGACAAATTTTGTAGGGCCCCGCGGTCTAAGGCCATTTCTAAATGGAGAGTCTTCAGTGAATAATTTCATTTCGCGGTTTCATAGATTAGTCATGGCATTTGAGTTGAGCTTTTCTATGGCACGGAAAATGTGACAGGTAATTAGGACAAACTTAAACAATGAATTTATTTGAACTTCTAAAAGAATTTTTTATATAAAAAGATTTAAAAACACGCATCATTTAACATTTTGAAAGCGTGTTAACGGACAATGAATAAGTTGTAGGTTGGAGTTGAAGAAAAGAACATTCCCCTAATAGCGATGCATGGGATTAGATATGGTTGGATGAAATGAAATATTCTAGCCCCCAATGCTAGTTTTAACCAATTTCATAGTTCTGTAAATTGTGTACACCCAGTTTCATCTAGATGAAACTTTTCCCTCCCTTTCTTTATAATTATATTGCCATGTCACTATATTTGCTTACATGGCATTTCATTTATTGAGAATGGCTTAAGGCTATGTTTGGGAGGAGAAGTTGCGAACTTGTCCCCATGTAGAAAACGAGATAGCTCAAGCATATGATTAATTAAGTATCAGCTAAAAACATGAGAAATGGATTAATATAATTTATTCTAAACGCAACTTTTCTCTAGATTTTTTTTAAAAAATAGAAAACACATCGTTTATCAGTTCAGTGAAGGTGAGTGTGAAAATTTGGGAGAAGAATATGGGAAAGTCAGCTAATTAACACGTTCTAAAGTTGCAGGAGTCTGTTTGTCCTGTCATGGTAGCCGAGAACGCTAATCGGCGACCAGTCGCGCGCCCCCTCCCCCGCGCAACTGGACGCGTGTCGCGGAGGTGGCGCGGGCGGTGCGGTTTTTATTTTTTCCGAACGATTTTTCTTTCTTTTTTTTTTGGACGGTTTTCTTTCTTTTTGTTTTTTCTGTTTTTTTTTCTTTCTGTATCTTTGCCGTGCGGTTTTTTTTGTTACGCACGTTTCTTTTTCTGTTTTTATTTCTTTCCATATTTTTTTAGTTTTTTCGGTTTTTTAATATGTACATATACAAACTTTGTATATACGTATACAAACTTTGTATACGTGTATTTTCTGGGTTTTATACCTGCGCATACCAATTTTGTATACACGTATACAAATTTTGTATACACATATATAAAGTTTGTATACGTGTATTTTTTGGGCTTTTTTTACATACGTATATCAATTTTATATACACGTATACAAAGTTTGTATACGTGTATTTTTTAGTTCTTTATTCATATGCACACAAACTTTATATACATTTTATATACATGTGTATATTTTTTATACATTAAAAGTTCATGCATATAAAAAATTATATATATATATATATATATATATATATATATATATCATATGCACACATATATAAAGTTTGTATACGTGTATTTTTTGGGCTTTTTTTACGTACGTATATCAATTTTATATACACGTATACAAAGTTTGTATACGTGTATTTTTTAGTTCTTTATTCATATGCACACAAACTTTATATACATTTTATATACATGTGTATATTTTTTATACATTAAAAGTTCATGCATATAAAAAATTATATATATATATATATATATATATATATATATATATATATATATATATGAAAATTATATGCTACTACCTGGAGTAGCTACTCCCTCCCTATGCGCCCTCAATTCGATCGCTACTAATGCCAATGACTGTTACCGGGTCTAATGAATCGAATACTCCCGCCCGTTTTTATTTTTCTCGGTGGTCAACAGAAGGTCGTTTATCTTCTACAGTAGATCCAAAAATTGAACGAAGCCTCCCGAGTTTGTTGTAGATATGAAATTTGAAACTTGTGTTTGTTTATCCAAAGCGAGAAAGCAGGATATTTCTTGCGTCGTTAAGGAAGAGCAGAACATTATCGATCTAAAATTGTTCTCTGCATTTGGAGGGTTCATAACCCAACTGAAGTCAGATTTGTAGCCTCGCCGGCGGCTGTGTTACAGATAACGGTGAAAGCCCTGGCATGGAGGATTCCAGTTCCAAGGTTTGCTATCATATTCATCTGTTATTTTTTCATCTTTTGGATTCTTTTCCTGATCTCGATTCCTTTCTTGATCGTTTCTGCTCCTAATTCGCTTTCTTTATGTTTTGCATTTGCAGCAACTTTGTAGTCCTGCAGCAGGTGCAAATGTATCAGGTGGTGGTGGCTCTAGTTCTGTTTTCATCAGAAACTATCATGCTGGTGTAAATGTAATTAGGCGGTAAGAAATTAAGAAGTCATGTTCTGCTCCCAGTTCTGCTGCCGTACGCCATGTTCTGCTACATCTCTACCAAATCTGCAACATGTTCTGCTCCTCAGAAATCAGATAGCAGATCATGCTCTGCTCCAAATCAGTGCATGTCCATCTCTAAACCCAAAAAAAGAAGTGAAGTTCTGCTCCTAGTTCTGCCGTGTGCCATGATCTGCTACATCTCTAAACCCAAATACAAGCACAAGCAGAAACTACGATCCATGTTCTGCTACAAGCGCAGAAGAAGCAGGAATGTTCTGCTCTCGTTTCTGCACGGGCCTTGCTCTAATAGTAGATTAAATCGTTTGAAGGACCAGAAGCTATTCTATTACATATCCATAGTTTAAGGAACGGGAGATTAGCTTCTGCTGCATGCGCATGCATACTTCTCTGATGCAGATTAGTTTCTGCCATTTTTTTTAGTTGATGCTCTGCCAATTTTTTCTGTTGGCTCTAATAAATATCTTCTGCTGGCTAGTAGCAGAAAATCAATTTGAAAAGAGCAGATCATCAACAATTTCATGTGCCGCCAAACAGCTGATGTTCTGCTTCCTTTCAAACAGAATTTCTGCTCGATCTTCTGCTCTCTTTCCAGTTCTATTCTGCTCCTAATTGGATGAGCAGAATATCTTCTGTCCGCTTAAATTTTTTTTCACGTGAGCAGAATATCTTCTGTCAGCGTATTTCATTTTCATGTTCTGCTCCTTTCCCGATTCACATTATGTTCTGCCAACGATATTTTCAAAACAGTTATGTTCTGCCATTTTTTTAGCTGACGTTCTACCGGTTTTTAAAATTGGTTTGCATGCAACCGATGATTTAGAAATTATTTGAACTAACTACATGCTAATATTTTGTGCAAATATTATTGGATTATGGGTTATTCCACTAACCCGATCCAATAAGCGGAGGGAGTAACTACTCCCGGTAGCAGCAAATAGGTGTCCCCCCTCTCTCTCTCTATATATATATATGTATGTATGTATGTATGTATATGTATATGTATATGTATACACGCATATATATATTGTCTATACTACGTATAAACTTTGTATACGTATATACAAACGTAAAATCTATTTGGAGAGGCCTCTCGTTTTTTCCTTAACCAGCGACGCCAGAACATGGGGAGAAATCTACTATAGTGTACTACATGCATGCTTTTTTTTTGAGAAGTCTATTACATCACATGTATGTTATTTTCTTCTTCAAACAAAGTTTTCTCTCAAATTACTTATCCGATCTATAATCCGATTACATCATTGTGTTCGTTACAATTAAATCTTCACAACAAGATCTTACATGATTATATTACGATGAAAAAATATTTATATTTGTAGATTACTTTTATTATATATGTAAGTTACTTTTATCATATATATAAGTTTAAATTACTTTTTAGATATATAAAAGTAAATTCAATAGAGTCTAAAAGTAATTAACATATATTATAAAACTATCTTAAAACAAAACGGAAGTAATTTTATCACGACATTATAAGTAAATTCGTTGTAGAGATAAAAATATGACTTTATCTAGAAATAAAATTTAATCAGCATATATCAACACACGTAAGTTTAACAATTTTTAAAAGTAACTTCAATGTTAATTGAAAGTAACTTTTGAATGGTTAAAAATAACTCTCTATAAATTTGTTTAATCATCGATTGTTTTTTTCCTTTTATTTTAGCTGTGTAGTCACGTCCAATGAAAAAAGGCATTCATTAAAGTTACTTTCTTTTTTTATAAGTTATTTCTATAATATATGTAAATTACTTTTAGACTTTATTGAATTTACTTTCATATGTCTAGGAAGTAATTTAGTGAAATCTAAAAGTAATTTAGATATATTATAAAAGTAATTTATAATTTTTCATCAAAATATAATCTTGTGGGATCTTGTTATAAAGATTTAATTGTTACGAATACAACGGTATAATCGGATCATAGATCGGATGAGTAGTTTAAGAGAAAATGGTATTTGAAGTATACGTGGATAGTGTCTCTAACAGATGGAGTGATAGCTGGTTTATACAAATCAGCTACCACTAGTTGTATAGTCACGTCCATATATAAAGTTTGTACGTATGTGTAGATAGTATATACATGTATATATACATATAGTAGTATAGACTAGAGGATATAGTAGTATATATACACTAGTATATACTAGAGGGGGGCAACTGATCGCGCGCCGCGCGACTGGTCGCTCATCAGCGCCCCCAACATGGCAGCCCGTTTGCTAAAAAGGAAGGCTGAGTTGTAAGGTGGCTAATGGGCCTATGGTACAATACTGGCCCGTCTTGAAGGCCCATGTTGACTCGTCCAGTCCAGTCCATCCAAGTCTATGCAACTGGCAGGCCGGCCGGCCAGCCACGAGCCCACGCTGTCTCCAAAATTTTCAGCTGAGCTGCATCAGATGCATCGCTGTTCTTTGTCTGCATGTTGCTAATTGTCACTTTGTTACTGCAAAATTTCACTACAAGTGAACACAAACTTCTGTTCTGTTCTGAATTCTGATCTAGTGATCTCTTGTATTATCCGCAATAGATACCAAGAATCCACATCAACAGCGCGAGGCTTTGATCAAGCTGCGCTCTCTCTGCACTCCGGGCGTCGTCATGGGCAGCTCGCCGACGAACACCGGCCGCACGCCGCACGGGCTCGGGCTCCGCGGCCGCCTCGCCGGCCTCTTCTCCTCGCCGTCACCCTGCCACCATCAGCACTCCGACGAGGTAGCCAGCCAGACATGCATCCAATGAAATCCTGATTAATCGACGAGATGATGTATGTAGCTTGCGGATGTTTGATCGTGTGCTGCAATGGCGAAGGTGGTGGCGAAGCTGAAGGAGGAGGTGGAGAAGCAGCGAGATCTCAAGGAGACTTACATGGCTCGGCTGGAGAGCACCCAGGCGTATCTCAGGTTCTGCCTCGAGGTCGCCCAGGTGCACGACTTCTTGCACCTCGTGTCCAACTCCAATGGCGGCGACGACGAGCCGCACCGCGACGCCGGAGATCAAGAGCCGGCAACAGCCGCCGCCGCCGACGACGACGACGAAGATGCTGCTGAAGCACCGCCCTGTGACCCCTACTTCGCCGCCACCAGAGACCTCGCCGTGCAGCACGGCTGGTCCGTCGCTCCCGACGAGGTGCGTTCGCGTGAAACATTTGTCCATCGATCACAGCAAAGCTTGATCTCCTGTCCATGGACTCAGATCGAGCTGCACGAGATGATCGGGCGAGGGTCAACGGCGGATGTGTACAGGGCGACGTGGAGGGGGCTCGACGTGGCGGTGAAGTGGATGCGCGCCGAGTTCTTCGCCGCCGCCGACCAGCGCAGCCGCGGCGAGGCCTTCTTCGCGCAGGAGCTCGACGCGCTGTCGCGGCAGCGGCACCCGCACGTGCTGCGGCTGATGGCCGCGTGCCTGCGCCCGCCGGCGAGCTGCTTCCTCGTGACGGAGCTGCTGACCGGCGCGACGCTGGCGCAGTGGCTCCACGGTGGGGACGGTGGCGGCAGAAGCAGGGAGAGGCGGCGGCAGCCGTCCTCGCCGCCGCCGCCGCCGCCGCTGGTGGACAGGGTGAGCCGGGCGCTGGAGATCGCGCTGGCGATGCGCTACCTCCACGAGCAGACGCCGGCGGTCGTGCACCGCGACCTGAAGCCGAGCAACGTTCTCCTCGACGGCGACTCGCGCGTGCGCGTCGCCGACTTCGGCCATGCCAGGTTCTTGCCGGACGGCACGGCGGCGCTCACCGGCGAGACGGGTACAACACCGATCTTGCCCCGTGCATGTTCATCATACTAATTACACTTCAACCAAAAAATTTACAGTCGCTGAATTAACTAATTTGTTTTGAATTTTGATAAATCACTGATCAGTTTTACATTCTAGGGACTTATGTTTATATGGCTCCTGAAATCATTCGCTGTGAACCATACACTGAGAAATGCGACGTGTACAGCTTCGGCATCATACTAAATGAACTAGTAACCGGGGAGCATCCATACATAGATACAGGTTACGGGCCTAGTAAGGTAAAATCTTCATTATGCTAATCTGCTCCTTCAGGTAAACAATAATCGGTTCTGTTCTTGGCTGACACAATGTTGTGTTTTTGTAGATTGCTTTGGAAGTAGCAGATGGAAAATTAAGGCCCAAACTTGCAGAAAGAGACGTAAATTCTAGCGTCCTGAATGATCTCATTTGTGGAACGTGGGATGCAGAGCCTTCGAAAAGGCCTTCATTTGCCACTATAACTTCTGCACTCCGGAAAATCAAGCAGCAACTTATGTAACACAAATGGCAAAACTAGCATCTTTATTTATTGGGGCATTGGTTATTATTTCACGAGAAAAAAACTGAAAGGAATGTGATGTATAATATTACTAGTCTACTGCTGCTGCTCTTGCTCTGAACTTTTTTTTCTCTCTGATGGTTGCATCACTTGCACTGCTCTGAGTTTCTGATTTATGATAGGACATGACACACTACCTCTACATGTTGAATACCTCTTCTGTCCCAAAAAAATTTCAATCCTAACTATGAATCTGAACACAAGCTAGAGTTTGTCTTTTTTTAGACAAAGTAGTATAGTTTTACTGCAGTTACTTTCAAACTTGTTATCCACATCTCCAACTTATGTCCAAGCTAATGCCACGTAAGCGCCACGTAGGATAAAGACTCGGCTAAGATCGCCATGTAGACGCCATGTTAGCCAAAACTACCAAGGAACATTGTTTGCACCAGTTTTGATGGTTGGAGGAGTCGATATACCCGGTTTTTATGGTTGGAGGACATGAATCATACTTGGGTGATAGTTGAAGGAGTCAAAAGTATACTTTTTTCCTTTTGCTGGAGGGACCAGCACCTCGAAGCCCAACAGAATAATGGAGAGTGGGCCAAATTCATCTATCGCAAACGGGCCTTCTTGTGGGCTTTAAGCCCATGCGCGTAGATGTAGTAGCGTCCGTACAAGTCTTTGTACTACGGGTCCAGCCCTCAAAGACCCCCTTCCCCGACGCCGACTCCGCCGCCGCCGTCGCCGCGCCGCCTCGCCGCCATGCCCGCCGTCAAGTGGTACTCAACTCTCACCTCTCTCTCTCTCTCTTCCGCGCCGCCGCGGCCAGCCAGGCCACCCCCCCTAATCGATCGATGGTTTCCCCTCGGCGCAGGCTGATGCACTGGCACCCGAACCAGGGGGCGACGCTGAACAGCCAGATCCTGGCGGAGGCGTGCGCCTGCGCGGAGTCCCTGGGGGGATCCAAGGACGGGAGGTGGAAGACCTCCATCATCTTCTACCGCGCGATGGCGCGGGACGGCGCGTCCGCCGCCGCCGCGGGGGGCGGGGGCCCCCCGCAGCAGCACCCCGACGTGCCCCGGGAGCTCCTCGGCGTCGCGCTGCACGAGCGCCCGGGGCTCTACTTCTCCATCCTCCGCGCGCACCGGCTCGTCCTCCAGGCCGACTCCGCGTTTCCCCAGGTCATGGAGAAGCTCCAGTCCTACAAGGCCCGCGTCACCCTCAACTTCGAGGTCAGATTGCTTTCCTTCCTTTTACCTTTCTGATTTGTTATTTGACGCCCATGTTTAGGTCTTTTTAGGTTGGTAATAACATGAGGATTCTAAGCTGAACATGCAAAATACTGCTTTGCTCCTAGTAGCTACTGAATTGAATATGGTGTTGTCTTCTGATTGAGTATTGAACTTATTTTTGCTTGTATTGAACTTATGTTTGATTAAATAAATTTCATTACTTATCTGAGAATCTTAAGACACGGTACTACCATGAGTATGTTGTCACACGAGAAATTAAGATTGTTGTCTGGGGGCAACTGATGCTGAATTGCTTATCAGTTGGATCAAGATAAATTAAGATTGTATTACTGTAAAATAAGATCTCATAGTTCCTTGAAATGTTAGTTAGAAGTTTACAACAGAAAACTGTCTCAAGAAACACAATGAATTGTGCTTAATTTGGTTAACAAGTTTTTCCGTTACAAATGGGGTTCAAGACTTCAAGGGAGACATAAGTTACATGGATTGTAAGAAAATAATTACACCTTAGTGAAAAATGGAACTGTAGAATCAGTATCTCTTAACTCTTATCCTTTCATACTTTTCTCAAAAGAAAGAGTAGTTCACAAAGGAGAGAACCAGGTGTGTGGTACTAATTCATCATATGATTTCTCACACAAATAGTTAACCAGCATTGATTGATGCCAATGTAAATGTTTATACAAATGAATTTGATTAAGAGCTACTAATAATGCTCCATTATCTAAAAAAAAGTAATAACACTCCAGGTGAGAAGTACGTCCAAAAGAGAAAAGGGCTAAATGAAAAAAGACGAGACATGAGATGACAAAAAGTAAATAGAAATTATCAAAAGATCTCTTTGCTAATTTACCATCACACCGTAGGTTTTAGATGCAGGTGTGGTTGATTTTTTTTAAAAATCTCTTGCTCAACTTGCGCATTGCGCTGCGTGGAGCTTCGTGAGGCTTCTGCTGGAAGTCTTTCTCTCTCTTTTTTTGGGGGACTGCTAGAAGTCTCTTGAAGGCAGGTTCTGGTTTAAATTCTTTGCTGGGTCTTTGACTAGAAGGGTGCGTAAATCCAACAGTTTATACTGCCTGTCGTAGCATTGGATGGTGCTTAATTTATGGCTTACGTGGCTCAATCAAGATTTGAGAAAGATTGATTCTTTCACTACTTTAGATAAGCCTTTAGTGATTTAAATTATGGATGATTCAAAAACTGTTCCTCAAGTCTGGTGAGGTTGCAAGAAACCTTCTCCACCACTTCTTTTTTTTATTATTATTTTCTTTTATGATTCAACCACTTGCCATTAGGGCTTCTAATCTCAAGAGTGGGTGATCAACAAAAATGTTTGAAAAATGATCATATATCTCACATCGAAGCTACTCGATTATTTTGTTTTTATGTTGGCCCTTCATTTTTTTTCTAGATACCTTACAAGTTCTATCTGGTGCTTTAATCTTGGTAGTGTTTATTCTACCACGGTGCGAGTGTTCATTGTCTCATATGCAAGTTCAGTTTATTGGATCCACTTGCTATTAAACTAGATGCTTTCATCTGCAGGGATTTCAGTATCAACTGGGTGACTTTTGCCTGAGGATTGGAAAATGTGTTCCTAATAATTCGGAAACACTGAGGGGAATCATGATGGAGGTGACATTCCTTTTCATTTTCTTTTATTTGTTACACTTAGCCTGCTGGCCTTTAAACCTATGATATATTGTTTGCTCTTTTTTAGTATAATATGATAGTCAAACCAAATGCAGGGAAGCAACAGTATAAAATTTAGGTTTGAGTAAGTATTGTCACAGATTAACAGGGCTTTGTTGCTTAGACTTTCAATTCGATTCTTGATGTTCTGGCTCATACTAGCCCTCGATTACTACTAGTATTCAACATCAGTATTGGTAGGGATATTAAATGAATCATGCAGTAAGTGTGTTGAGCTTGACAAAATTATCAGACGTGCATGCTGACCTTTGATTGTCTCTCCATTAGTTTGCAAGCAAACTTTGCAACTTACTGTTTGTGTCTTGCTGCTAAGGAACTACTAAGTAGTTCTTCACAGCTTTAAACTTAGAAGATTCTTGTTGTCATTTCTGGGATATTTATGAAAGTCGGTGCATTATTTGGACTTGAACACTAAATCGTAAGCATATAAAAGGTCTGTACTTTTGTGCATGTAGTTCTCACTTGAATTGTTAATCGTAAGAGAGAGTGAAACTTGATAGGTTCTCCTGCATTCATTTGGCTCCAATTGTTGTACTTATGAGTAATCCTTATTTTGCTTTTGTTACTCAATATTGCTAGCAAGTTTGGCATGATTTTTTTTTTTATTTTTGCTTTTTGTGCAGGTAGAGTATTATCCCCTATCTTCCATTGAAAAATCCAGGGCAGTAATGGAAGACTTCTTTGACATATGGCAGGAAACAGTTGCTAAGAAGTCATTACCTGGTCATTTCATCCACGTAGAATCTAACTTTTCAGAGTATGGTCTTTCAGATCACTATTCTTTCCAGCACACTGCCGTTCAGTACGCAACTTGTTTGCAACAACTTATGGCTGCCGTGAGGCCCCAATGACATCCACAAGGTGTGTCTCATGCGGTGAAATGTTATTGGTCTTCAAGGACTGAGGTAGTGATAATTCTGAACAATTGAGTAGCTATGACCTGTATTATCACGAGTTCTTATTGTCAGTAGATCCTTAATTTTGTCGATGTGGACTAACTCACCAAACTAGGCATGGTAAGCAAATATTGCTACCCTAACAGCAATGGTGTGGCAAGTTTATTTAGCGCCACTGTTCGTAGCATGATTTTACAACTTGCAACATGGTTGAAGAAGGCGCTACTCCCTCCGTCTCATAAAAAACAAATGGATGACATATCCTAGTACTATGAATCTAGATAAATGTATGTCCAGATTTATAGTAATGTGTCATATCGGTACTAGGTTGGTTTTTTATGGGATGGAGGGAGTATGCGCTAGTCAGGTGGTCACCCAAAGTCTAGCACCGAGACCTGCTGAGGCAGAGCCAGGTATCTCTAGGCAGGATGGGGGGAAAACCATGTACTCCCTTGGTCCCCTAATACAAGGGATTTTGACATTTTGCTTCCACTGTTTGACCATTCGTCTTATTCAAAAAATTTTACAATTATTATTTATTTTATTTGTGACTAACTTTATTATTCAAAGTACTTTAAGCACAACTTTTCGTTTTTTATATTTGCACAAATTATTTTAATAAGACGAGTGGTCAAACATTATAAGAAAATAGTGAATATCCCTTATATTAGGGGACAGAGGTAGTACTAGAACTAGTGGATACCCCACAGCTTGATGTGGGATTTGAAAAATCCTTCAAAAGCACTTAAAAACAACATTAAATTAAAGGCCAGACAATAAAAAAAATACAAACTGCATGTTAAGTTACTAAAATGCCTGACCGCAGAACATGAACAGAGCAAAAACCGAAAAATAAAAGCCATGCTATAGTTAATGGTCCTAGTGAAAAAAAAAACACTTCTCCCGTAAAAAAAACCAACCTCGTACTCCAACGAATCTGGATACTCTCTATGTCCAGATTCGTCATACTAAAGTTGGTTTTTGCTATACATCACTAGCATGTTTTTTTCCAAATTGCACTCAAATTTCTAGCCTTTGGATGGACGTCAAGATTCGTGCTATGTTATCGGGCCCACAGTCCTTTGTCAGGATAGGATCCGTTTTGTTTTGGCCCGTTTCCATCCGAACCCGATCCACATGCATGTTTTTTTTTAACTTCCACAACTCCAATGGCTCCAGGCAACATCGTTGAGGAGAGGAGGTGAATCTGGCGACGAGCGGCAAGCGCAACGCCTTCACCGACGGGAGGAGCTAGGACAGCTCGCGCAGCAAGTCCACGAGTAGGATGCCTTCACCGTGACTTGTTATTTTAATATGTAGATCTTGTATGTCTCTACACCCTTCCTAAGGAGGAAGGTATGACATAACAAGGTGAGGGGGGCTAGGACCCGGTCAGGTCCTGGGCTCCTCCCTAACTTGTTATTTTAAGATGTAGATCTTATATGTCTCTACACCCCTCCCAATGGGGGATGTATGACCTAACAAGGTGAGGGGGCCCTGGGACCTGGCCTAGGTCAGGTCCTGGGCTCCTCCCTATCTTGTTATTTTAAGATGTAGATCTTATATGTCTCTAAACCCCTCCCAAGGAGGGAGGTATGACATAACAAGGTGAGGAGGGCCCTAGGACCCGGCCTAGATCAGGTCCCGGGCTCCTCCCTGACTTGTAATTTTAAGATGTAAATCTTATATATGAATTTTGTATGTTTCGACACTCCTCTTGAAAGAGGGGTGTGCTACATAGAAGGGCTTAGGGGACTTCGGGACCCGACACGGGGTAACTCTCGAGCCCCCTTCCTTGCCACGTGGATATTTTTAATCGCTGCTAATCAATGTGTTTTCTTTATATAATGAGAATATAACCTCGGGTCCTCGGGGAAAGGGGTACCCTGGTTCCCATTTCACCGACAGCAACGGAACCAACGGACTAACACCCAACACCATAGACGACGGCAGGGAACCATGATGAAACCCTAATTTTCACTTCTCTTCAACTTCACCTTCAGGGTGGAGGAACTATATATATAGAGCAAGGATGAGTACTTACGTACTCAACACGTCATGGGAACATAGGTGTTGAGTGAAAGCATGAAAGAGAGGCAAGATTGTTTTGCAAATTCTTTATTTGGAACCATTTTGAAACCACTAAGTGGTTTTCTTCTTTTTAAGTTTAGGTCGAAAAGAGACTTGTTTCTCGATTCCACTTAAGAGACTTCCCAGGTCGGTTCATTAATTCTTGGCTCCCAAAGCCATTTCACTTGATTAAGCAGCTCCCCGAGCCATTGTCAGTTTCTCGGACTTCTCACTGCCCCCATAGCACAACAATCTTCTTCTACTCAGTAAGCATAGTCTATGATGCCGCAAACATCCCGAAACACACAAATCCATTCCTGACCACCTAGGTCATCCATCTGCCACAAAGGTTGATTCTGGTAATGAGTCTCAATCCACAATACTTTTCACAAAGCACAGGCAAACAAAACTACGCAATTGGAAACACTTCACATCTGTAGAGGGATATACTTTACCCACACAACACGAACTTACTCCAGAAAATAGCCGGTGTCGGAGGTTTGTGACAAAGCCTTTCCAAACCCAACCCAAGGTTATCTCATGGCACATAGAAGGATCAGATCATCACATAAACGAATCATTTTATGTTCACAAATCAACTCCAATCACCTCGACCAGTAATCTGGCAAGCTTCTCTTCCTTGCCTTACCAGAAACCCGGAAATGCACCGACCACCGCATCCCGGCATTCCCCAACTATTGGCATGCAAGGTTTCCCTGAACCGACTAGTTACTTAGCCAGGGTGTCCCATTACACCATGTGGTTGCACTTCCTATGCTTGATGAATTTCCCCAAGAATCGGTCCTCATATGCGAATACGGGACAACGACACACATGCACAACACCCGCATCGCGAGTTTTCATGAACTATTTTATTTTCAAACACGCCGACACCACATGTCGGGTTTTCAAGGCTTCTCAAACTAATTTCCCAAGTTTTTGACAAACAACGATGCATGTGAAGTAATTCGTACTCGCGCTCAGAGAGCACGAATACCGGAGTACCACAAAGGTAGAGTGACAAGGAATCAGAATATGTCAGCCTATGGAAATAGTGCGACTACTGGGTAGGTCCGTTGGTTTGGATCGCAAACCGAGGCCAAGCAAGTTATGTGTGTACTCCTAACAATGCAAGTTGTAAACAAAATTATAATGACTATTCAATTATAGGAGCAATGTAGTCGAGGGTGACTTGACTTGCTCAAGGCCTTCACGAAGCTTCTTGAAATCCGGGCTCGAACAGAAATCCACAATCGCAACTATACGCAACTATACACAACCAATTAAAGACCTATACAAGACCAAAAGAAAGATCCTATTTAGGCTTCGTTCGTATGTGCGAGTCCTGATCCGGTTCATGTTCCGTGCACTGGAAGCGTGGTCCCGCACACAGTACCAGAAGGACGGCTTGTGAGGCGACGTTAACGTCGTTAACGGATGTGAGAAGTTGCCGTTGCGCCTCGGCTTTTCCGTCAGAGTCAGGGCATCCAATGCTCTCGATCCCTCTTTCTTCCTCCTCTCGCTGTTGCTATCTTGCTTCCGCGGTCGTCGATGCGACGCAGGCCTAGCGGAGAATCGATTCCCCTCCGCTGCAGGCTCCCGTCCTCCCCGATTCTCGCCAGCCCCCCTCCTCCCCTTTCGACTGTGGCTTGCAGGCCCGTGCCCCCCCCAATCGATTCTCGTCCGCGCGTCGTCTTGCGGCAGCGGTCGGTTCAAGGTGCTCAAAATCGGGGGGAAGTGGAAGAGCTCCACGCCTGTCGAGCTGTCTGCGTCGTCCTCGAGGGGAGTAAAAGCTGGCCGGCGTGCTCGCTGTGAAGCAGCAAGCATCGGCGCCCATCAGGCCGCCCATCTTTGGCAGTCTGGCTGCCTGTGTGCTCGTCCTGTCGGCCTCTCGGGTCAGACAGTGCTGGCCTGAAGAGTGTCATCAAGGCATCCAAGCTGGCGGAGTTGAGGAGCCAGCTCTATTTCAGGCCGAGCGTGTGCGTGGTCCGATGGAGACGACAGCGAAGAAGCGGAAGCGAGAGTGGGATCTATTGTCGATCCAAGAGGAGGGGACGATTTCCCACTCCCCTCAAACAGGGGAGATCTCTGTCCGCGGCGCCGATCTGGAGTCCGGCGAGGACTCCTCCGACTCTGTCACCTCCGACGCTGGCAGCGCCAAGGCTGCTCCCGACGACGTGCTTCATATCGCGCATGCCCTCTGCAAGGTTTGCGCCAAGTCTCCTAGAGCCGTCATCGACTTTGTTCGAAGAGTGAGCCCTGCCACCGTCGGCCGTTCGATTGATTGGGACGTCGTCCGCGAGGAAGAGTCATCTAAGGTATTGGTTTGTATTAATTTGTTCATTTCCGATTCAATTTTACTCCCTCCGTTTCGAAATGTTTGACGCCGTTGACTTTTTAGCATATGTTTGACCGTTCGTCTTATTCAAAAAATTTAAGTAATTATTAATTCTTTCCCTATCATTTGATTCATTGTTAAATATATTTTCATGTAGGCATATAATTTTACATATTTTATAAAAGTTTTTGAATAAGACGAACGGTCAAACATGTGCTAAAAAGTCAACGGTGTCAAACATTTCGAAACGGAGGGAGTATTTGACTTGCACGGAGTAGATGGGCGATGGCCGTAGCCGGTGGACCGATATGGAGGTTCGTGTGTTTCTTGAGAGCTGCTTGGAGGAGATGGCAGCGTTCACCATCACCTCCAACTCCCCCAAGCCGCAGGCATGGCAGAACCTAATACACAAGATGTACACCAAGTGCAAGAAGAAGGTGAACAAGGCTCAATTGGAGTACATTTGGGGGCAGTGTAAGAAGCGGTACAACAGGTGGGTGTGGCTAGAATCGCATGCAAGCGGGCTGGGTCGTGATCCCCATACATCAGCCATTGTTGCCGATGATGAGTGGTGGGAAAGCAAGAATGCGGTACGTACACTTGACCATAAATATTTTGAACCAACAATTTTGCCTACAATTGGTATTATCTGAAATTTAGTACATGCATGCAATTATAAATACAGTTTTGTGAGGTGTAATAATTTTTTTGTTCAAATTGTGTGTGCCAACAAATGACTAGCTGCAGTAAAATGGAAGGATTGTGCTCACATATGTTTCATAGTTGTTACTGTCATGTCGTTTTTAGTAATGTGTGCCATTCCCTTGTATTTAAGTTAACAAAATGATGTTTACACTGTCTACCATGAACTGATTGGCAATGATTGCGAGAAGTAAATGATCTTGTACATGTGACATTCAAAAGCATTTTAACAGATTCACATGTGTTTAATTGTGAAGGATATAGCTTACACAATGTAGCATTTTATTAGCTTATGCAATGTAGCAGTCAATGTAACATGGTAATGCTTATAGGTTTTGTTCTCTGCATAAACAAAATCTATATGTAGTGTATCAGTAAATTAGGAAAGATCTTGTACAAGTCATTTAGGAACATGTTAATACATATTCAACTAGCTGTACACACCTTCTTTGTGATGTATATAGAGAGAATGAACAAAAATGTGCTCATCTACAAAGAATATAACATATGCAGTTTATCTTATGTTTACAATGTTCAAACTATCTTTCTTTCATTCTGTCAGATGTGTGGCCCATTGTAACATGTACTCCTGATTATATTTGATAACTTGGTACCAATGTGCACATTTACTGCCAGCATTTTAGTAGTAATGCACATTGGACTGCACATATTCATTATGTTCAATGTTTGCACAAGCCTAATGCACTTGCCTTGTACTAACTTATTTTTACTGTCTACTTATGTTGCAGCAAAATAAAGGTGTCTTAAGCTTCAGGAATGATCCTCTGAAGCACATTGACCTTCACCACGCGGTATTCAGTGGGCGCACAGTTGTCGGAAACCACTCCGCCGTCGCAGGGGCAGCCCCACAGGCACCGCAAGGAGCAGTTCAGTGGCAGACCATCGACATGGCGCAGCTCGCTGCTGCTTATAGACCACCACCTCCAACTCCACCCCCAACGGCAGCAGACCGGGGCAAGGGAAAGAGGCTAGCAGCAAACACTACTGCCTCAGGGAGTTCTTCCAAGAAGTCCCGAAGCGACTCCGCTGGACTGGCTTTGGAGAGGATTGCGGACATCCGACAGCAGAGCTACCAGAGTCGTGTTGCTCAGATGGAAGCAGAGAAGTCTATGGGCCTTGATGCGTGCATGGAGTTGGTGGAAAATGATGGCCATGAAATTGGAGGAAGTGTGTGGTATGCTGCTTGTGCGCTATTCCGTGACCCATTGACCTGCAAATGCTTTGTTCGACTCAAGGACGCTGCTAGGCGCTTGGAATTTATACGCACTGGTGGTACTGGACAGTCATCTGGTGGCACCTAGTAGTTTGTGCACTGTACTTTACTTTGAGTTGTGATGTGCGATGTTTTCCAAATAAACCATTATTTATGTTTAGAACTCAGTGTGCTAACAATTTTTACATTCTGTGAGTCCCTAAACATTTGCGGCTTTATATCCAATTCGAGCAACTACGTATTCCATTGCATTGCTTTTATATCCAAATAATTCTTCGATTGCATAGATCACTGCCATTATTAATTTCTATCCTTTTGATTATGACAAACATTGCCTATTCTTCGGTTCTCATATGTTAAAGGAAATCGGCGATGAGTTACGGCGCGGGTGGATCGAGTTGGAATGGAGGCGGTCACACAAGCAGCGAAGAAGAAGATGCCATCATTGAGTACATGGCTGCTACCCTTGATTTCAATGAGAGGGCACCAAGGAGAATACCGGTGCAAACCGGTGTCAGTTGGATGATGGACACGATGGCAAATCGAAGCCAATGCAGGGCAATGTTCAGGCTTACTGCAGAGGAGATACACAATTTGCATGATCTATTGGTCACTTCTTTTGGTCTTGTAGGAACAGCAGGGGTCTGTTCCATGGAAAAGCTTGGTATTTTCTTGTACACGATGGGTGGAAATCGTCCAATCAGAGACGCGAACAATCGGTGGGTCCGCTCCAACTCGACAGTGTCGGTTCACTTCCACCATGTTTTGCAGGCTATGAATGATCTCGCTGGGAAAATATTGAAACCGGTTGATCCCAACTTCTTAGATTACAACCCTCAGATTCTGCAAGAGAATCCTTTCAAGCCTTTCTACCAATCAGTGGGAGCTGTCGATGGCACACATATTCCAGTTCTGCCTAATGCAGCTAGCGCTATGCAACACAGGAACCGTCACCACATAACAACCAGAAATGTTCTAGTAATATGTGATCATGATGGGAGAATTATTTTCTGTGATGCTGGCTGGCCTGGATCAGTTCACGACCAAAGGATTCTCAATGAGGCAGTGCAGGCTTACCCCTACGATTTCCCACGGGTACCGTTAGGTGAGTTGTATCGGTCAATACACTTTTTTTATTGCCAAATGTCTTGATTTTATTTAATTTTACACATGTGCACTAATATTTAATTATGCGCCGTTAACCAGGCAGGTACCTACTTGTCGACTCCGGATTTCCTACCAGGATGGGCTTCCTTGCACCGTACCCACATGTACGGTACCACAGGGATCAACTTGCGGTCGAGGGAGCCCCGCCACCCGTAGGACGGGAAGAGACTTTCAACCATCGACACTCCACGTTGCGAGGGATCGTGGAAAGACAATTTGGCATCGCAAAAAAGATGTGGAAAATATTGAAAGAAATCCCTTATTACCGAGATGAGGACATCCCTGCACGCATCATTCATGCAGCTTTCGCTCTACAGAACTTTAGGTTGGATAGTAAAGATCCGACCTATCGGTTCACTAATGCTCTCTACAACGGCAATCCAGTGCCGCTGCTGAACGATTCATTCGACCATATGTATTACGCAACAAATAGCGAGGCCGCTATGAGCATGTTGCGTGACTGTATTGCTGATGATGCGTACAATAACTACCATTAGGTAGGTGATGTTATCCATAATGCTTGTCGTATGTTCAGTACTTCAATTTTCAGGATTGTATGGTTTACCATTTATTTTTATAACGTTAACAACAAATTTGATGCACCGATTCTTGCGTTATTTGTTTCACAATTCATTTTTTTCTTAATTCTTGCGTTATTATTTCAGACAAAAAATTAATCATTGTTATTGCAAAATTTATGTCCGAATCTTCACATATTATGAAAATTATTATTAAAGAAATCACATGTGTGTGCATATCAAATATTTCTTTCACAATTGGTGCCGCGTAGCAAATACCTCTTTCACCCGTGTCTTGCAAAAAAACACCCATTAATTCGCATGCTACAGTACCTCCACTGCCAGCCCCTGCCCGGCATCGCACGGCACGGCGACGGAAAGTGTCGGCCATAGACGGCGTCCAGGCTGCCGCTTTCCCTCCGTCCCTGACGCCCTGACACTGCTACAGTGGTCTACAGTACTACATGTTCCCAACCCAAAAGTCAAGCTCCGATCCGGCACTTGCGAACGAAGCCTTAGACTAACTAATAGTGCCATTAGATATATATATCTATATTTAGACTAACTAATAGTGCCATTAGATATATCTAAATTTTAGAGGATACTGGAACTTGAATGAGGTCAAACAAAGCTGCAGATCAAGTGATATGAATTTCCTAAGAATTATTTGTTTTTATGTCTAATAGGAAAAGGAATTAAAGAATTCCCTGGAAAGGAAATGGGAACGAGGGACCGAAATTAAACTTCTTGGTCGAGCACGAGGCGTGGCCCAGAGCAAAGTGCGGGCGCGAACGTGCACGCGCGAGCCGAAGGGCGAGGCACGGCCCACGTAGGCAAGGTGCGCGCGAGGCAGGCCGGTGGACCGCGCGGGATCCTGGGTGGGACCCACCTACTAGCTACAAGGTTCACGAGAACCAGGTGCACGTGCGGCGGCGCTAGGGCTTGGGGTGGACGGGGAGGGCGATTGGTGCACCGGTGTGGACGGAATGCGGCGGTCCCATGTGCAGCCACACGGCTAACCGCGGACCGTGCGCACGGGAGAGGGGAGAGCCGAGGACGTGGCAGCCACGCGGGACGGTGCAAGGAGGAAGACGACCCTGCCGTGGATCCGACGGCGGGCGGCGGCGACGTTCACCGGAGCGGCGCACGGCGCTACGAGGGAAGCGCACCTGAATGACGAGCGGGGCGAGGAAAAATGAGCCTACGGCTCGGATTCGCCAGAGGGCGACCGAAAACGGCAACCTCGCCGGAGCGGCGAGGGCTCGATTCTTCGGAGCTCGTGCTACTTCAAGGATTCACGAACTCATTTCAAGCTTCACGGGGGCACGACGCGGCTCCAAGGAGACCCACGGCGGCGATCTAGCATCGGCACAGAGGTGGCGAGCGGCGGTGAGCTCCGCGTAACACGGAGCGGCGGCCAGCTAGCTAGCAGCCTAAAGGAGGTGGTTGGGCCGCGAAAAATACGGAGGGCTACCGAGATGAAGAGGCGTTGAGGCGGTCGACCATCGGTGCGGAAGCAATCGGTTCCGGCCTTGGCAAGGAGCAAGGCTAGAGAAGGGGAAGAAGCGTCCGCCGTTGCACCATGATCACAACGGCACTCCCAGCGTGACGCGCGGTGGGCGAGGACGATGAGACGCAGACGGGCCGAGCGAGGACGAATGGCAAGCACGGCTCGGTTGGGGTGGAACGAAGGAGAGAAGGATGGGAGATGGCGAGGCTTTAAAGGGTGGATTGAACCGGGGCTTGGAGGAGAAGGAAGCCGTGGGGGTGGATGCCGAGGTGGTGCGGTCGCACGACCGGCATCCGGGTTTTGGCTACAAGCGGCGGGGACCATGGATGACGATGGCAATGTCGCCAAAAAGGCGGTGCAAAGTTTGGCGGCGAGCGGAGGCAAGGCGGTCGCCGCGACAGGCGGAGTGACGCGAGGGTGACGGCGGCGTCCTTCCGAGCGGCCACGACGCGCGGCGTGAAGGAAACGAAGGCGGTGGCGGAATTTTGAAGGCAAAGACGGTGGCGATGGCGCGGCAAGAAGCGAGAGAGAGAGAGAGAGAGAGAGAGAGAGAGAGAGAGAGAGAGAGAGAGCGAGAGCGGCTGGGGTGATGGGCCAGGAAACGGTTGCGGCCCAAGAGGGAAAGGGAGCGAGAGAGATGTGCCCGGGAAGAAAAACAGCCCAATAAGGAGGAAGGCGATTTAGACTTCTATAGAGAAATTGAATTGGAGAGGAATTGGAGTTTGGATTTGAAATCAAATTGGGCATCTGTACTCAAGGGTTCAAGGTGGAGCCTAGGGAGGGATTCAAGGTGGAAATTTGGTAATTTTTTTGGAATCAGGACAAGTATTTGGCGATGATTTCACCGGGAGAGATTGAATTCCGGAATTTGATTTTTGTATATTCAATTTGGAGCTGGAATTTCGAGGTGGCGATTTTTTATGTCGATGAGAGGGGAAAAGGATATATTTGAATTGAGATCCATGGCACGACTTAGACTTACACTCAAGAACTAAATTTTCGCAAATAGGATTTTATTAACTTATATTTATCGTCTTGCGAAAAGCGGGGCATTACAGATCCTATATTATTTTAGCTCCCTTGATGAAATGTTTCAAAGTGACTCAACACTCGATATATATTGACTGCAACACAACGTCCAATGTATGAAACATTAAGTTCCAAGGATTAAAACATCGAAAAAAAATCACAAATTCAGAACATAAAATATGCAACATAGGAACATACCATTGTTTTAAAGAGTCATATTTTTTTTAATAAAAAAGTAATTAAATTTTATTAAATATTACGGTCCATATATATATATAGGGGTTATAAACGGGTACAAAGTTGCGTACCGCACAACTAAGTGGCTAGTCTACATGAAAATTTTAGAGCATCACCCTGTTTAACTTGTTCCCGTGAAGCTCATAACATCCGTAAGTACATTGTATCTTATGCGTTGACATGTAGTAATTTGGTCTACAAGGAGTGGGCAGTAGCTGTGACCTGGCAATACCATGAATTGACCTGGCAATACCATGAATTCCTAGTGTCAAATAGATCCCGGCTGAGTGCAAACTTCAATTGGTATAGAAAAAAAAAATCCTCAAACTAACAAGACCTGCACGGTTGCTCGGTCAGAATTTTTCGCATGGATAATTAATTGCAGGCTTACAGCAGCAACTAAAAATAACAGTACGTTCTTCAAAAGAAATGGTTAGCAGTTCAATCACGCTTGTGTTTGTTTAGGACATTTTGAGCAACAGATAAGAAAGACCTTTCCTGGTCTTCACAAATAAGAGGGAAAAGAAATGACCTGTAGCAGAGTCGGTCCTTCAAATAATAGCACTCACAAAGACGCGAAGAGCAGAGTCGTATGAATTTATTGTGGTTTGATCCATTCACAATAGAAGCTACTCTCTCCATATTAATATATGACGCCGTTAACTTTTTGACAAACATTTGATCTTTCGTCTTATTCAAAAAATGTATGTAATTATAATTTATTTTATTGTGACTTGATTTATCATTAAATGTTCTTTAAGCATGACATAAATATTTTTATATTTACATAAAATTTTTAAATAAGACGAGTGGTCAAACGTTGGTTATAAAGTTAACGGCGTCATACATTAAAATACGGAGGGAGTATAATATATAAGGCGGAGTGGTTGATAGAAGAACTCGTATAGAAGAAAGAACACACCGAGCGAGTAAGAGAGAGACAGGAATTAAAATTAGAATGGATGGATTTGTTGCCCTGGGGAATGTCACCCAGGTTGCGAAGCAATTCGCCGCGAGCTCTGTTGGGCAGCTTGCCCGGATCGAGGGGCTGGTCACACTGAGCTGCCTCCTCGTCGTCATCCTCGTCTTCTCCAACTCCCGTCGGCGCCATCAGAGCAACGGCTTCCTGGGCTTCCTCGTGTGGGCGGCCTTCATGTTCAACTACCCGGTGATCTCCTACACCATCGGCCTCATGCAGTCATCGTCCGTCCGCAACGAGCTCTTCGTTGTCTGGGCCTGCTTCCTCCTCCTCCTCCTCGGCAGCGCCGACGCGATGACGGCCTTCAGCTTCAACGACACCCAGCAACACGCCAGGTCGATGATGAACCAAGCACTCCACATCATCTACCTGCTCTTTCTCATCCTGTACTACAAGGCCCAGCTTAGGATGAACCTCAAGGTCCCCCTGTTCATCCTCTGGAGCTTGAGCGTCGCGCGGTTGGTTCTGAGGATCAACGCGTACCGCACGACGAGCCGAGATAACGGGCTGATCAGGGAGAACCAGATCGTGTTCGAGTACATGAAACACAAGCTGTTAGATGGCTCCATCGTCGGTAAGTACGATCCCGACCCGTCCAGTATGAAGGAGTACATCTACCTCGTCGATGGGAAGGAAGAGGAGTCGTCGTCGATGGCGATACACTTGCGGTACGATGCGCCTGACACGGTGAGCGTTGATAAGGTGTGGGAGTGCAAGGGCGAGCTGCTGAGCTGCAGCTCATCTGCAGGGAGCCGCGGCGCGGCGAGGCGGCGAGACTTGTGCCTCTCTTTTGCGCTCTTCAGGCTGATGCGCCTGAGGTTCGGGGCAGACCATGTTGGTGATCTCAACTTCCATTCTAATAACGACCTATCAAGAACTCTCGTCGTCGATAGGCTCCTCTCGGATGATCGCGATCTTGACAGAGCCTTTCGGGTGGTTGAGGCTGAGCTGGGCTTCCTGTTTGATTTCTTCTATGCTCGGTATCCTTCCTTGAAAGATAATCTCGTTTTCGATTTGATCCTTTATTTGCTCACCATGGTTACCAGCCTTTTCACCCTCTTCTCTTCCGTTCTTCTTCACTACCGACCCAGTACTACAGCCAAAGTAAACATCATCATCCATAGCTTCAACCTTGATCTTTTTGTTACTCGTCTGGTCGTTGCCCTCTACATCTTTTTAGAGTCATACCAGCTTCTTTCGTTGGTGTTGTCCGATTGGCACAAGGTTAAATTGATGTGTCAGTACGTGCTAAAAGTGTCATGGCACCGTGCAAGGGTCGACACTCCGTTGAAGGTGCTGTGCCATTTCAACGTCTCCAGATACTGGAAGAATGCCATTAATCAGTACTCCCTGCTTGATAATGCTGGTTATCTATACCGTGTGCAACTCTTGCTATCAACTCTGACACTTCAGTTGCTTGACCCGTGGATTATGGCGTCATCCATTGTCTTGCCACCGCAAGTGAAGCAAGCCGTCCTGTGCGCCCTCAAGGACGCCCTGAAACCTACCAATGGCAAAATTACCGATGGAAGAAGGTGGCTACACCAGAATGGCATTTTGGACCGAGACCTGGATTACGACCTCTTTAGCCATAAAACATACGCCCCCTACATTTTGGTATGGCACATAGCCACAAGCATCTGCTGCTATGGGGAGTCCAAGTTTGACATGGCGCAGGCTGATGCAGAGTTGAGGTATCACTACGAAGTAGCCACAGTGCTCTCGGGATACTGCTCCTACCTCGTAGCTTTCGCACCGGATCTCATACCAGATGGGACTTACACAAGCCAGCTACTGTCTTGCCGTGTGCTAAAGGATGCACACGCATACCTCGCAGAATGCAGGACAACCAGTGACAAGTATGACAAGTTGATGAAGCTGGGTCGCGATGGTTGGAAGGAGCAAGAAGCAGGATGCCCTCTGCTGTACGAGGGAGCGGTGCTCGCGCTCAATCTTGTGGACCGAAAGAAGGATGCGGAGGAGAGGTGGAAGGTGCTCGCCCATTTCTGGGCAAACCTGTTGCTGTACATCGCGCCGTCTGATCGAGCGTCTGTGCACGCCTCCAAGCTGGCGACCGGCGGCGAGCTTTTGACCATCGTCTGGGCTTTGCTGAATCATGCCGGAGTTGTCAACAAGCTTCAGGAGAATAACGGCTGCCAGCCATTGGATACGCTGCCTAGGGCGCCGAGGACTCCAATTTTTCATCGGCAAGGAACGATAGTTGATTCCAATGAAGACGATGGAGATGGAGATTATCCCATGTATGAGATCATGCAAGAAGACTATTCTGTGTAGTACATGTAGGTGGATAGGTTGGTGTTCAAATAAGCCTGCTTCGGGTCCAGATTTGCTTCTTTTTATCACAACTTGTACTAGTCAAATTTGACCTTATATGTCAATGCTTGTGAAGCGATATACGTCTTATATTAATATATATTTTATTAATTGTTTTAAAAAATTTATTGACTATTTAGATGGTATGCAACAAACGATGGGATGGCCCCTCAAGCAAATGAAAAGCTATCTCATGTAACAATTTAGTGTGTGTACATATCCATCCTAATATAAACACCGCACCATGAATTTGTAAATATTGTGACAAGTAAAAAGAAGTGTAAATATAACACCTATATGCACAGGTAGAGTATTAATCCACTATTATTTCATACATACCTCTTATTAATTGTCTGCTTGTCTACAAAATAGACGTATTATATGACGCGGCCCAAAGAGTAGGGACATAAAATAGACTTATTTTAGCTATATATATGTCACAGCCCAAAGAGGGAGGAGGGAAAATAAACTTATTTCAAAGAAGATATGATGGGCCGCCCATACTTTCGGGCCGGCATTTCATACATCTACTATCATTTCATACATCCCTCCAAACAGCACGGCCCGACTGCCTCGGGCCGTGCCTAACCCATGCTTAGGCCGGGCTGTACCGGGCGGGCCTTATGGCCATCTATAACTTTGGAAAGGGGGATAATTTGGGCCAGAAAACTTATGCGTTTGTGGCCCGTACTTTCGCTTGTTAACCCTCATCGAGAAGAGAAGAGAGAGATGATTGTGCCCGCGTGACGCCACGCGAGTGCACTTTCCCGCGCTTTTTTCCTTCCCCCTACCAGTTATTTTTTGAAACCTAAGCCAGCCGAGCTGGTTTTATATTTAGAAGAAAAGCACTTTACAGAGGTCACCAACGGTGACAGGAGAAGAAACAACACAAAAGAAAAAAATTACACCTCCATGGAGGAAACTAAGACGCTATTCTCGCAAGTTTTTTTGCACCACACGCTGACCATACATGAATTTTGTCTAGAATTTTTGTCACTAACTGCGGGATTTGGAGCTCTATATCTTTAAAAACCCGCCTGTTTCTCTTGCACCAAATTTCCCAACATAATAGCATATGTAGTGACTGCACCCTCCCCAACCAGTTATCACCCAAGCTGCACGCTTCCACAACATCGGCGGAAAGAGTGCACTACCGCGAAACCGCCTGTACAGAGCTCCCTCCAAACCCTCGAGGCGCTCTCTGCGGCGCGCGCTCTCTCCCTCTCACCGGACCGGAGGAATGGCGCCGCCGCCGCACCGTCACAAGAAGCGCCGGACGGCGGAGGACTATTAGAGATGCTATTGATGACAACTACTCAACGAGGATCCTAAAAATTACATGGACATGATACTCCATATCTGCAGAGTGGTGAATGGTTACTAATTTTTAAAACGGATCTGAGCGCGCGGAGATACTTTATCATATCCACATATTTCTTCCTTGATTTCTATGCCTCTGCTGTTTCTTCGCATTTTAACCTCCATTACCTGAAGCATTCTCGCTTTCGATAAGATCAGACGAATGAAATCCATTTCGTTGTTCTGCGAAGTGACATAAGACATTTGGAGAAAAAGAAGGCTGGGGCATAAATTTCCATATAGCTCCGCTGCCAAAGGGTATGGAGATTGTGCATATGAGTCATCAGTAAAGTCCTACAAAGATGAAAAATGTTATTCAGAAAAAGGCAGGACATATCCCTGACAATAATCGAAAGCATGAATACAAAAATATACATGATTTTCTCTCCGGTTTCATAATTTCAAATTTTTAACGTCACGGATAAGATTAAATTAATAACTTCTAAAATATCAAGTTTGAACCACTAGAACACAATGTATATACAAGTTCTAAAAAGTATTTTAAATAAACTAGATATTAACTTTTTATACATTCATAATAGATATGTATATCTTTTAAGACCATGGTGTTGTTCAAAACATTAAGAATTATGTAATCGGAGGAATTATATATAAATTAAGTAGGAAGTTTCCAAAACTACATTAAAGAAGAGGAATATGGAAATTACCTGAATCACAAGTTGAGTCAGGTTTGGAGCGGTCCTTAGGAAGTTAAGCGTAGACAGAATCGGTGGAGCATGGTTGAAGTCTAGATGAACTTTCAATCTCTTCAAATTTTTGTAGGAAGATGGTAGTCCCTTCAATAATTTAGTCTGAAACATGACATTGAGTAATGTCAACAAAGTATACTATATCCATAAGTTCTTAGAGCCCCATCGGTTAGCCTAATAAGCTGAAATTTGATTTTAAAATATTTTCAACATAATTTCTTGTTAGCATTGGCTAATAAGTCGCTACGAACAAATATATAAAATTTTTACCTATAAATTAACATTTATTTCCTAATAAGCCATAATATGGGCAACCGACAAGGCACTGAAATGTAAACTAATGAAAATATTATATTTGTAAGTATAAAATTGATATAGTACGAAAATATTGTCAAATATGATAATTATATGCATGACAGTAAACATATACTATATTTTTAGTTTAATTGTTAGTCAAAATTTGTAAATGTAAGAAACAAAGGAATACCCTTCTGTTTTCAAATGGAGGAAGTAGATACGGGCGAAATTTGAAGTGAAACAAAATGGGGAGGATTTCTGATCCCTCGAGGAGATGTGTTCCTCGTGTAATTTTTTCTCTCAAAATCAATGCAAATGGTTGTAAAAAAAAGTATTTAAAAAATTGTTAATATAGAGTATAGCAAGATCTATAACTCCAAAAAAATCATGTCCAAATTCGATCTGCACATTGATAAACGAAAAAGACAAATTCTATTCACGTCTGAGTTTGTCTTTTGTTTAATTCCTCAATGTGTTTTATTATTTAAATGGTATGAATGCTATCAATTTTTTTTCTGAGATTCTTTTAACGATGATTTAGATAGTGTTCGAACAAAAGTACATACATACCGGCGATAACGGCAAGGCATAATAGTAATAGTCGAGCGTCTCAAGCGAGGTAACCATGGCGGACAGAAGGTTTGGGGCGCTTGGATAGGAGGCCTGCGCGAAGTCTGCCTGCGACACGCGCGGCAAGCGCGCGCCCACGAACTCGACGTTCCCCATCCCGTCGATCCGAAGGAACCGGAGGCTGGACGACACCATCCTCACCTTGCGGCGCCCGTCGCCGCCATGTTCACGGCAGTCCACGTCCACGGCGATGCAGCACATCCTGAGCTCCTCCAGCCTCGGGGACATAGCGACGAGCGCCTCCAGGTCGCGGGCATTGCGGAACGCGGTGCCGGTGAGGGAGAGCGTCGCGAGGGCCGGGAACCCGGCGAAGTGCTCCGGCGCGGCCGGCAGGGCGAAGCGGCCGAGGGAGAGGCGCCTGAGCGCGCGGCAGGCGAAGATGGAGCGGTGCATGGGGTGCGGCGGCGGCCGGTACATGGCGCGCACGGTGAGGTCCAGCGACTGGATCCCCTTCTCGGAGAGGGACGCCATCCAGGCGGGCACGCCGGGGAGGAGCTCGTCGGTGACCCTCAGGCGGACGCGCTGCACGGGGCCCGGGTGCTGGTGCAGCAGGATGGCGTCGATCGCCGCCTTGTCGCACGCCACCGCCGTCGCCGCCGCCACCGGCAACGACGCCGCCGCCGGCGGCGGCGACGAGACGAAGTCGAGCTCGCCGAGGTGGCGCCAGGACCGGCCCCAGCTGCTGGAAAGGACGCTGGAGCGGGCGGCGTCGCGGAGCGGCAGCCGCGCGAGTATGGCGTCTTGAAGCTCCCATGGGAGCTCGGGGATGCCCCTTCTGCTCGCCATTGGCGGCCTTCAAGCAAAGCTCGACAAAACCCCTCCTCGGCTCCTCCCTTTGGTCCTCACAGCCTCGACAATTATGTTACCGCGATCGCGAGATTTCTCTATATCTACTATTATAAAAATTAAAGATAATTAAAGATGTTTCTACTAGTATTTTGGTAGGTTATCCATGTTTAAGTAGGTTTTTAAGTTCGTTCGCTTTTAGAAATACAGATCCGTTTTTAAATTGTATTTTAAGCTCATTTGTTTTTGGAAATATAAAAGGAGACATATAAGAAATATCATTAAAAAAACCCGCATGCTAACTTGAGATGAAATACGGACTCTTGCAGCTTATGATTTTCGAAAAAAATATCTAAGCGAATTCACACAGTAAATTTTATCCTAGCTAAACCATATAACAACAATAAAATTTAAATAGCATATACCCGTTGTAACACACTGGTATTTTTTCTAGTGATTTAATAATTTTAAAAGGGACCTAATTAAACAGTGTCCTATTGCGAATAATCAATTGCCGAATACGTTCTGGACATGGATATTGATGCGCGAATAATCAATTGCCGAATACGTTCTGGACATGGATATTGATGCCTCAGCTGTCAAGAGAAAATTGAACAGAAACCCCTTCAATAATCAATATCCCACTTTAATTAGTAGGAAACACGAAAATCAAACTAAAAACTAGAAATTCTGATAAATTTCAACTAGAATATTTGACATGGAGATTTTGGAAAGCGGGATATTTTGGGCCGGAAAACTTATGTGCTTGTGGTGTGGCCCGTAGTTGCGCTTGTTCACATGATCTCGCCGGCGCGACGCGAGTGCTCTTTTCCCGCGCTTTTTTTTCCTTCCCCACCCAGCTGCGCGCCATTTTGTTCCACCGCGTCGGCGGAAAGAGTGCACTGCCTCGAAACCGCCGGAGGAATGGAGCCGCCGCCGCCGCCGCACCGTCACAAGAAGTGTCGGACGGCGGAGGCTGCTGTTCCCGGGGGGGAGGAGGAGGAGGAGGCGAAGGACGCGCTGATCTCCCTGCCGCCGGACGTCCTCGACGGCGTCCTGACCCGGCTCGGCCTCCGCGACGCCGTCCGCACCTCCGCGCTCTCCCGCGCCTGGCGCCGGCGGTGGGAGTCCCTCCCGTCCCTCGACATCTCTTTCCCCTTCCCGCACCAGGAGGGCGCGGCGCTGGCCGCCGTCGACGGCGTCCTCCTCCGCTGCCTGCCCCGGCCGCGTCCGGAGCTTCAGCGCATACGTCGACAAGCTCACCACCCGCCGCGCCCATGACTGGATCCTCGTCCTCGCGCGCCGCGGCGTCGAGTCCCTCGACCTCGCGTCGCCGATCCACAACCACCTCGCCGTCCACTCCTCCGTCTTCTCCTGCGACCGCCTCGCCTACCTCAACCTCTTCGCCTGCGACATCCCGCCGCTCCCGCCGGGTTTCGCCGGATTCCCCAACCTGAGGAGCCTAACCCTCGACCACGTGTGGCTGCGAGCGGGCGGGGAGTACCAACTGGAGGAGATCATCGAGAATTCCCCATTGCTTGAGATGCTAGTGTTATCTGGAATCTTCATCGATGGAGACGATATCATAAATTGGGTGATTCGAGCGCCCAATCTCCAGCATCTAACGATTTGTTCGCCGAACGATTATGGATGGAACCTTTTGGATTTGCCACGCCTGCGTTCTGCCGTCATCGATTTGTGGGATTATCTTGGTGGCCGTGATTTCGCCGAGTTTCTCGGCAAGCTTCTTCATGTTAGGAAGCTTCACCTCTTTGTGTCCTATCAACCGGTACATTCTGATGCCTCCAAATGTTTCTTGTTTTTCTCTTGCCAGTTGATAATTAGTTTCCTCTAAAAAAAATAGGTGATCATTTTACTTTAAAATGGTTGATGTTTAGGTTGAATCAAAATACTTGCTCGCTGATTAAACTGCAGAGTTGAATATGTGAAATTATATGATTTATCGACAACAATTATATGATCATGACTGTTGTTGGTTGCATAACCTCTTGTGGATAGGATATTAGGATCATGTTTGCTGGGTGACATAAACGTAGCAAACTTTCTGTGCTGTCTCCTAATCTGTAAATATTACTGTCATACAAAGAATTGTAGATATTACTGTCATACAAAGAATTGTAGATATTACTGTCATACAAGGGATTATGTGATTGTGCACATATTCTTATGGTGAATATATATTGGCATCCGTATGCTTTCAGTAACTCATTTGTCTTCCAACTTGGTAGTCCGATGGCCTTTTACCTTTCTGATTTGCTACATTAGACTCCTTACTTTCGCTCTAGAAAAAAGGTTTATCCCCTAGTTGGATATGTGGGCTGTGGGCCTGTGTTCTCCTTGACAAATTAACAATGTGGAACATTTCCTTCAATAAAGGGATATGTGTTTTTGGTCTTGTTTGGACAGAAGGGAAAAAAAACATAATATGTCCTTTGATTATTTCTATCCATCCAGTTTCAACTTTTAAGTTCTGATGGAGTACCTGTTTTCTTCATATCTTTCAGTCAAATGGAGCTAAGATACTAGAGACACTTCCATGCACCTTTGACAGCTTGAAGAGCTTGAAGAGCTTGAAGTTATACATGGACTTCTGTGAACTGCCCGCGATTTTAACGATTTTTTGCTTACTAAGGAATGCTCCGAATCTCGAAAAACTCAAAATAATGGTAAGGTTGAATGTTGCCTCGCAAGTTGAATATATGTGCACTGTTTGAAGGTTATCTCTCTCTCCTTACAATTTTTTATTTCTGTTTGTGAAGATCACTGATAACGAGCAGAAAGTTGAGGCAAATGGGGTGTTCCAAAATGCAGAGTGGACTGGTGGCATGTGCGCCAACCTTCAAATTGTACAGATAACGAGAATTAGTTGGCTTCCAAATGAAATGTCTTTTATAGAGCTGATTCTCTCTAAAGCAAGTCTTCTTCGCACAATATCTGTTACTCATGGTGATAAATGCCTAATGTCTAATGAGGATGCGCTCAGTGAGTTACTAAAATACAAAAGAGCTTCACCCCAAGCTCAGATCCTGTTTAAAGGTAAATGTAGTTAATATTATTTAGGAAATTTCCATCTTATACATTTGATTTGAAATGATATTCTATTACATCCTTTTGTGGGGTTTTAAAAGTTGCTGTTGCATTTTGTGTTATATTTTACTTTTGAGTTTGCACAATAGTATGGCTCCAGACTGAGAGTTATGCTGCCCTCTTAATATAATCGATACCAGGTCCCTCCCTGGTATCCAGCGTTTCATACTCATACTACATAGTCAGACAGTGATAGCCTGCATTGCAAACTACTTCCTTTTTACAAAATGGTCAATTGAAATTTGAATTTTTACTTTCCATAATGTAGTTTCAGATATCTATGCAGCATAGTGAGGCAGAACTTAATAATTGTCCAAAACCTCAAACTACTTTTTTTTAACGAATCGGCACGAGTGTCCCCATTTGATTGAATATAATGTCAAACTTCTCTGTGTGTGTTGATCGGTTAGTTTTCGTGGGATTACCCAGAGCCTGATAATTGTGATGAGCATGGTGGCATGGTGAGAATACAGAGCCTGAACATGGGTATTTAAAAGAGAACTATTTTCATAAGTATAGGCCTGTTTAGATCCCCTGGCAAAATTTTACATCCTATCACATCGAACATTTGGACATATACATGGAGTATTAAATATAGACGAAAAAAATAAGTAGTTACACAAATTGCGTGTAAATTGCGAGACAAATCTTTTTAAACCTAATTGTGCCATGATTTGACAATGTGGTGCTACAGTAAACATTTGCTAATGACGGATTAATTAGGCTTAATAAATTCGTCTTGCGGTTTACAGACGAATTCTGTAATTTGTTTTGTTATTAGACTTATTAGACGGATTAATTAGGCTTATTAGACGGATACTTTAAATGTGTGTCCGTATATTTGATGTGACACACTAAAACTTTACACCCTGGATCTAAACATAGCCATAATGTCAAATTGGTGTATACAACTTGATTCCTCTTGTAGTTTGACAATGAAAGTAATAGGCACTGAGGTCCAAGTCAATTTTTCATGTGACTCGACATAGGAAATCTTAGATTATTCTTCACTAGAATCAGAAAGTAGTTGTTGGAATCCAATGTTAACACACTTCAACAGGATCATATGATATTTTCCTCGCTCCTTCGGACTATGCATGCTTCTGCTACAATTTTTAAGTAGTGACTAACTTCTGCTGAATGTTGTTCAGTTTGCAGAAATGTGCTTTTGGTCACATATTTGTTACCTCTGGTTTTATATCTGTTGTGGCGAGCTGCATAAACAGTATATTGACTATTTTCCTTATTATGCAGGCAAAGCAGACGGTTATTAGGTTAGCCGGCACATTTTATGAAATGCTGAAGAAATATAAAGTCGGATCACTTGAACCAGACAGTGCCATCGTTTGTCTGAAGCAGTCTTTTGGGTTAGCAGGAAATGTCGCCTCGAAGGGATATATATTGTTTCTTCTGTTACAAATATCTCAGAAACCTGCATGCTTATAGTAATTTTAGGTCATTCGAAGATACAGTGTAGTGCGAAATTCTACTACTTATATTATAAAAGGGCAACGCTCCGGTGCTTTATACTGAAAGTATTATACTACAAGTAGAACTAATCTGAACCGTTTATTCTTAAGGGTACAATAGTAAAGTACTAAGACAGATTAGGGGTAAATTTGACATCACGACAACGTCGGTTACGTCGTTGTGTTCGATCGTCGGTGGCGGCGGCGGTGGAGATCATCTTGAGGGCGGAGCCGCCGGTGGTGAAGGCCTTCTTGCGGACGGCCTTGTACCCCGGCCACGTGACGGCGCGGTAGGCGGCGCTCCGGCCGGGCGACACGGCGTCCGTCAACGGCGCCACCTTGACGTCCGGCGGGCGGGCCGAGGAAGTATCCGAGCGATATCCTGTCACGGTCGCGGTTGACGACGGCGCGGTGGTATACGCTGTGGAAGCGGCCGTTGGTGAGTATGCATGTGGAAGAGAGGTCGCCGACGTTGAGGACGAAGTTGCCCGGAACGATCGCCGGCACCGCCACCCACCGGTCTAGTCCTCGCCGGAATAGCTACAGCCCTGACACAATGCTCTGGAGCATAAGCCGGAGTCGGTGTGTGCGATGAGTCCCAGAGCTTGCCGCAGGTCCGGGCACCTCTGGTACCAGTGCATCGTCGCCGTCATCGTCTTGGCGATCCTCCTCTCCGCCTCAACGCCGGTGAGACCTAGCGCCCACCCTGAGGAACAACTCCAGCAGCTCGTCGGCTAGCCGCCGCATCTCCTTGTGGAACTCCTCCATCATGTCACCGCGTATATTATACGTGCATCAGTACACTTATACGTGTACACGTAGTAGTAGACGAGCAGCTCGAGAGAGGGTGTGTGCATGGCGGCGACGGGTGTACGTGAGAATACCAGAAGAGGAGCCGAGGAGGTAGTCGTCGCCGGACTTGGGCCAGAGACGGCGGAGCTTTTGCTTACCCAATTGCAAATGCGTGCCGGATCAGAACGAGAGACGAGTGAGTGTAGCTAGGTTTAGAAAGTGAAAAGGACAAATACCTCTCCACAAATAATTTTTCTGGGACAAAAATATCCCTCCACAATTCTACTACCATTAAATGTGGTGGGAGTAGAAATATATCTGAGCCGTTCAATCATATACAATTAACGGTTCAAATTATTTTCTACTCCTAGTAGAAAGCACCGGAGTGGGACTCATTATAAAAAGGTACTTTGGCAGCAGTGTGGAAGTTCTCAGATTATGTGCATTGTTTCCCCATTTTTATTAGAAACAATCTGTGGATTGAAAAATGCAGAGAATGCCATTGGATAGGCAGATGATTTAGTGTCAAAGCAAAGAGACGCATGGCGCTACTCATAAAAACAAAAGATGTCACGCAAAACAGTGCAGTAAATCAATGGAATAAGTTATGCCTTTAAAGGAAAAAATGCTGGGACAGGAACAGCAGGGGCTCCAGACTGACTCTGAGCCTCAGACAAAATCTCTTTCGTTTAATTCAATATATCCAGATAAAATACAAGTGACAAAATTCAGTTGTATTGAGTCTACACAAAATACAGCTTAGCAACAGCAAGATTGGGAAGCACCATGTGCACCAAAAAACCTATGATATGGCAAATTGGCAATACAAAGCCGTAAGTGTAATCTCCTCCGCGGTATTTACCTTCCGTATACTGATTGCAGTTGCTCTGATGTTCCAGCCTTCTCAGATGGCATGCTCTGGCTGCTGGAAAATTGATTAGCAGCTGCCAGACTTCTCACATGGTTTTCGTATTTGCAATATCTGATGATCTTCATGCAGCAAACTTTTGTGGGATGAACCTGAAAATTGGTGTCTCGTCTCTGAACTCTCATCAGCACGAATTCACTGGTCAAGTGATCATGACTAAATAATTGTGCATATTGCTGCTGACCCACTGTCAAGGAGCAGAGGGGCACTATATATCCTGAACTCCTGACCTGTGGCGTAGATGGTTAAAGAATCGTCAAATATATACATATTCACTCGTCATTAAGCTTCTCACATATACAGCCCGGCAACGGATTTGCAAAGAAAGACTCTTCTAGCTTGGGGAATTCCCCAGGCTCCCTGAGATATGGAGCCCCTATTCGCTCTCCATCTCTATGTATACGTTTCACTTCTGAGCTGAAGTCATCCCAAGACATCCTTCCTTCATCATATTCATCTATCAGGTTCACGAAACTCATCCTGCAATACAAAGAATAAGACATTACAAAAAAAAGGAAACACATGTCAAAGACAGCTATTTGGCATTCAACGTCGTCTTGTGTGCAACAAATATAACCACAGAGCATTTCCAAGGAGGAAAGGATGTAACCTATCCGGGTTGATCGTCTTCCTGAAGTTCTCGAAACGCCTATGACCTTGTACAGCTTTGGCCATATTACCATCATACGTGTAAAGAAAGACATCACTCTGGAGAGCTACAATGTAGTCAAGACCAGCAAGCATATTTTGGTGATTTCTAAAGGGCTCAAGTTCCTCTTTTGTTGCAAGGGTAGAATGAGAATATATATTGGGAAAATCATCCATCAGCGCCTGCATGCTTCCATTGCCAAAAGCTTCACCTGCAACCAAGTAGATTCTGGTGCTTCGTGTGAAACCCAATCCTTTGAGTAAAAACGAAGTTTCCCTGGGAGTCAAAGGACAACCACCCATACTTCTTCTCTCAGTTCCATTTATTTCTTTCTCTTTCCAATGACTAACCTCATAACGCATTTTACGCAATTCTTCTTCTTCTTCTGATGTCAGGCTATGGCTGCAACCAGTAAAAGCTAGCATATCCTTCTCAAACCTGCAAATTTTCACCAAAATTACACCCCTGCTTCAGTGAGCCTTATTTCAAAGGGCACCGTGATAGTTTCATCTACACAAGCATCTACATTATAAAACAACATGCATAATCTATCAATACAACAAGTTAGCCATATCTAGCTCACATATGCTCAATAGTTTAGAGATAAACAGTTCTTGCTCGGGTTCAAAATAATAGAAGCTGCAGCTTGTGGAAAACCTTCAAAATTAAGAAAATCAGGGTTGCCTTTACTTAACTTAGATTATTATGCACAGAAGAACGAAAGTAATGAGTGCAGAGAGAAGCATCCTACAACAATGTTAGGAGCACCGAACTTGCCTTAGATGGAGAGCAAGATATGGGCTTCCATCCTGATGCATCCGTGAAACCAAGGTAGCACCAAGATCTTCAATTGTTTGGGAATACTTCAAAGACCTATAGTTAACTCGGCATCTTAATTTCTGAATATAACTAGGAAGACCATTGTTGGCAAGGCGAGAATCTGTATGCGTAAAGTAAATGACTTTGTGTTTTTTCAAAAGAGGGAGAATTTCATCTCTATAATAATTCACCTGCACAAGATAAAACACTAGTTAGTGTTTCCGACTATCCATCATATATTAATGTAAATTATAGATAAAAACCTAGTTTCAACCTTTGACCAAGATATTGGAGCTTTAGCCACAGGCTCAATATGCTTGTATGCTGGGGGCAGCATTTCAACAATATCAATGTCTTCTTTGAGTGACTCAATGAAGTGTCTCCAATTGAAAAGGTCCTTAAATTCACTACAGAAATGAGGAAATCAGAATAGGCATTATGGCCACACATTGATTGAAAAGTTTAGTTTTCTATTCTTTCTTTCTATCTTTTTTTTTTTGAGAAAGAGAGGAGATCCTTTAGTTTTTAGGAGATTATGGATGAAGAAACTATGTTAAAGCACAACCTGTCATCTGCCCAGAAAGATGTATGATCAAGTGAAGGTAGAACCAATGTAGCCTTCAGGATCTTAGCAACAGCAACCATATCGCATATCTGCAACATGAAAAATGTATCAGACCATAGCACACTAATGGTAACCTAAAGTCAAAAAGTAGGACAGGAGTCACACCCCAAACCGCATTTGATTCAAACCTCCATTTGCGTTAATGAGAATGTATCCATTTGTGTGAGAATCTTCCTCTACAAATTAAGAACAGAAGACCATACCTTGTTAATAAAGGAGTATTGAAGAGACCAAAAGGTATTAATACAGACCAACTTACTTTTATGAGAATTCGAAATAATGCATTGTCTGAACTTTCCGCTGCTTGGCTGGGACCAGACATCGGGGGCCTACATGAAGCACCAGCCAAAATAAATGTTATGTTCCACTAATTAATGTGTGAACCAAAAAGGTCGAGGCAGAGATGTATTACTAGCCTCAGGAACACTGTCTTCTGATCCCACTGTCATCAACATCCTGTCACTCTCTTTCCCTCCAACATGTCCAAAGTGGCTATCAAATTGATACCCTCCATCACTGGAGAATGAGATTGAGAGATCCTAGAAACATGGACAGCACAAAACCAAATTACACTGTAAGATCAACAATTTGGGTCAACAAGGTAAGTAGATACAAACTTCGTGAAATGTTAGAACAGCAAAATAAGCTTGTAATAGAAAAAATGTTACTAAAAGGATTAACTAAATTATGTCGATGCAATGCTATGATTCAGACATTGAGTTATTAGTAGAGATAGAGAGGGCACCATGGTAAAAACTAGAAGTGAAATTACTGACTTGAGATAAAGAGATCAACACATCCTACTTGGGAAGATCAAACAATGACAAACGGTTGGCTGGTAAGCTAGCTCAAGGTTGCAGCGCTCTGAATCCCATCTCCATCCCACATGATGTCCCTTATAATTAACCTTGGTAACAAATGGAGTATGGAACCTCTCGAGTTATCTAAATTTTTTATACAATAAACTCAAGTTGACTGCCTGACTACTACAATAAACTATTGAACGTACAAACAAAATATATTTCGTAAGATCCAAAACTTAACTGCATCCAACTGCCAATGGCCAAAAGCACCAAAGAAGCGTTTTCGTAGTAAATTAGTTGGTATAGACATACCAAGCAAGTAAGACACTGTCCTAAAAATTAAAATGCTAAATCTCCTGTAAAATATCCCTATTCAATAAGGTCCATGCAAATCTAAAATGCAGTAACTCCATTCTAACATCTCTTCCACCACAATTTTTTTTCCCCAAGTATCACATTCAACTGTCTAAAAACCTGTCAAGATTTCAAACATTTCTGTTTTCAACTCTTGTTGCTTTGTCCAGACTCCAGAACATGAAATTGCAGAGTTACGGTATGGAACAAATAGGATGGCCAAACTGCATGCTTACAAATTGGAACACCAAGGATCAGAAGTTCGTGCGGAAATTACAGTTGAACATTAGCAAGCTAGCATGATTTCATAGTCTTCAAAGACCTTCGAATTAAGTAACAGCAGGATATATAGTTTGTTCGTTAAGAAATGTACGGACAGAACATTTCAGAGGATCATGCAACTTTCCTCAAACTACACGTGTTGTTGACTCCGAAGAAGAAAGCTTGCCAAAATAGCAGCTAGAAAGTCTAAAACTGGAAAGGAATTTATAGCTTCCATACCTGCAAATCAGCGTCCTTGTCGTCGCCGGGGAGGGCGAACCAGCCGCCCGCCCAGATCTTGGCGACGCCGAGGAGCAGGCACACGCCGCAGAACGCGAGGAACAGCAGGTTCCCAATCCGCCTCCTCTCCCGGATCCCCAGCCCGAGCACGACCTCCCCGGCGCCGGACCCCGGCCGCTTGAAGAGGCGGAACCGGAGCTGCTGCTGCTGGCTCTGGTGGTGGTGGTGGTGGACCGCGCCGCCGCCGCCCGCGGACGCCTCGGACGCCGACGACGACTCGGCGAGGGGGCTCCCGACGCCGTCGCCGCGGGGCGAGCGCGGCGAGCCGATCTGGAGCTCGATCTCCCCGCGCTTGAACGAGTTGGCACGCCGGGTCATCGACCCGCCCCCGGATATCCGCGGGCTGTGCAACCGCGGGTGGTGATGCTGATGCAGGTGGTCGCCGCCGCCACCGCCGCCACTCCCGCCGGCACCGGCCGCGGCGCCGCCGTGTACGGGCTGGTGGTAGCCCATGTGTACGTACGTGGTATACGATCAGCTGGCGCGCGAAGATTTCCTAGTTAAGTAGGAGGAGGAGGAGGAGGGAGTGTCATGGGGCAGTTCGCGCGTGGTCTCGGAAGGGAAGGAGGCGAGTACGGCGGCTAGATTAGGGGAGGCGCCATTAATGGAGCTCGCTTTGGTTGGGAAGTGAAGGGAGGAGAGTGAGAGAGGTGAGGACAAGGAGGAGGAGGCGCGTAGTGGGAGCCGCACCGAAGCGAAACGGTCAGACACGGCGGGGGTGATTTACGCCTTTGCAATTTGGACGCGGTTTCATTTTGTTCTCTACTCCCCGTTTCATGATTTTTGGAGTTTTGGATAAAAATAAGATTAAATTATTTAGTAGATTTATCTTACAAAGTACTATAGGAAAAATAAATATATTTATTATATATATATATATTGTAATAGAAAAAATATAGTGAAAGATATATTTTGAAGATTGTATCATTACTCAAAACATAACCGAATATAGTACTTATTAATCAAGTGTGAGAAAATATAAAGGATTTATTACACATATATTATAGTATGAAATTATTCTTCATCCTCTTTAGCCCTCACCATAACGAACAACGCTCCATGAGTACATAGCAATTTTGACAAGGATTCTAATATACAATAATTAAAGCATTCTTAGTCAACCAATGGAAGGATTGGAAGGTAACCTTTTAAAATCTCAATATTTACTAGCCCTTTAGTTTTTTATTAAGATACAAATTTTACCTAGATTTTTGTTAGCATGTTTTTCAATATGCTAAATGGTACATTTCGTACGAAATATCAGATAGATCTATTTTTCAAGTTTGAAATAATTAAAACTTAATTAATCATGAGCTAATAGTTTTATTGTTTTGTGCGCCCGTACTTAAATTTCATCTCACGTGAACTCAAATGGGCCCGTCTAAGCAACCCACAAATACTTATATGCCATCTCTATGACATTATTGACTTTTGTTAAAATCTTTGATCATTTGTCTTGTTTAAAAATTTTATGGAAATCCCAAAATATAAGTATTGCTTGAAGTTCCATTAGTGACAAATCAAGCCGCTATAAAAGAAAAAAAAAATACTTACTTAAATTTTTCAAAATAAGATGAATGGTCAAATATTATGTAAAAAGTCAATGACGTCATATATTAAAAAACGGATGTAAGTATTTAATAGTGAAGGGAGTTGTAGACTAGTGTTACTCGGTTCCATATAGTATTGTAATATAAGACAATCAGTTTTGTTCTAAATCAAAATTTTTGAATTTTCATCAAATTTATATAATAGTGCGCCAACATTTAAAGCAACAAATTTAATTTATTGAAATCCACTGTGAATTATGAGTTTGCAGTGTATTTATTTGGTATCATAATTGTCAATATCCCCTTTTTAAAAAAAATGGTTAAATTTTGAGAAGTCTAATTTATCTAGGACGAAATCAAATGCCTTAAACGGAGGGAGTCATCACAGGGATGGTTTCGTTAAATGCCTATAGACTGCCGAATCTCGACTCCTAGTGATACGATGGGTTTCGATAAATTTTAAACAAAATTTGCTGAAATTTATTGTTTGGAATTTGAATTTCTCCGCCTCGAAATCTGTTTCTGTCCCACGTGAAAAAGCTTGAAATTTCACGGTTTTCGACCTGTTCTTATTAGAAACGTGAACCTTCTCACGAGCTTACCGCCTCATGTTATCTGGCAGATGGAACGAATGAAACCTGAACTCGACGCATGAGCGTTTACTTTGGAGCTGTGTACTTGTAGTCGACACGCAAAGTGGAAATTTCTTTAGTTTTTGTCGTAGTGCGGTTCACATGGATATGGGGTTTTTACAAAGAATAATCCATTTGGTCTTGGGTTGATATGGAGTAGAAGCTCACGATGTGTAGGAGACAAGAAATAATTATTGCTCAACGAGAGTTTTTAATCACGGAGAATGTGCCGCCGCTGCACTCACTCTGAGAAAAGAAACCGATAATGTGCCGGCGATCGGGGATGGATACGGCTCTCCGCTCCTCCTGGCTCGGAGCCCATGTGGCAGCCTGTACAGATTCGTGAAGAAAAAAAATACAGATGTATTGTCATAAGATTTTAAGAGCCCGTTTTAAAAGTCACATCGTTTATCAGTTTAAAAAATATGCTAACGAAATTGAGAAAAATCGAGGGTGGCCAACTGACGAAAGGTCAGAGTGACAACATTGTTAGGTTGGATGCACTGCACCAATATAGCTGCAGATCATCGGATGGGCAGAAACATCAGCAGAGATAGGGATTGGCATCAAGCTACAGTGCAGGCACCCATTCTTGCAAGATTGCTGACAAGAGTATGGAGAGGGATTCATGGCTATGGGAATGGGGAGGTTACTACCTTAGCTTCCAACCCACCCTCTCCAAGAAGCCATGGAAATCATCAGCTTGTTGATAGTTGCATCCATGTGACAGCAGCAAATGCAGGCAATGCAGCTGATTTTAACGGAGAAACGACTGTGCATTGAGCAGTGAAGTGAAGGAAGTTCTTCAGAGGAAACAAACGTGCTGGCTGTGGAACAGCCTATTGATCTTACAAATTACAGTAGTCAAGAGAGGCTCGCCAGAAGCATCAATGTGTATTGATTCAAAAGGTTTTCTTTGTCAAGATTCCAGAACAAACTTTCTTTGTTTTACAATGTCTGCACGCACCAAGGAACATGAAAACACACACAACTCCCCAAGGATCATGTTACAGGAATATGTACAGTTGTACACTGAAGATGTTCCAGATTATGAACGATTAACGAATGAAGCACCAGGTTGCAGACTTGCAGGTGAATTATGTAAATGAGAATTGAGAATAGCTACTCATACAAGAATACATGGAAACCTGTTTTCAAAAACAAACACATGGTACCGAGAGAACCATAGTTTTGAAGAGCTAAGCCAATTAATAGTAAAGTGGAAGCCACATTACTGATTGCATAAAGGTTCACTTCCGCAATGTGAGGAGGAACCCAATCTTTTTATTTCACCAGTGTTCTTGGTCTTCTATGTGATTCTTCAGCAGCGACAGGTGTATTACGCCCAAAGTATTGTTAATCCAAAGAACAGTAGAGCAGCAAGTGCAAAACAGAACCCAACAATTGTAGCAAATGCCTGCATGGTGATAAATATGAAGCAACAGACATTAGAAGACTGATATTTAAATCTTAAATCTAGCATGTAGTTTCCCCTCTCGTTCCCGGTTTAACTGCTCCCCATTGGGATAACAAAGCAAGAGATGAGTATTTTACCTTTCCTTCTGATTTGAAGTTGAACCTGACTGTGAACCATCTTAGCCCTCTATCAACAAAAGGAGCCAATGCAAGTGCCCTATTGTACACCAAACAAGTCATCTCTCAGAACAGAAACTAGTCAGTTTTGACAGCAATACATGTTCTATAAAATTTCAAAAGGTACATCTGACATCTGAGAATGTAATTCAAGGTAATATTGAAAAGTATGAAAAAAATACTCGGCTGATCCAGAAAAAAAATCCTATAAATGATCACTAAATTTGCTGAGTTTTAGAAACCAGTCCTATGAAAGTAAACTCACCCTCCTGCTCGAAAAATTTTAGTAACTTGACTGCCAGCCCATACCATTGCCATCAACTTGAGGAATCTGCTTTTAGTAACACAAAACTAATTAAGATCAGAAAACCCTGTGTGCACGTGCTTGCGTGCATGCGTGCGCGGGATGGGGGTTGGTTGCAGCTATTACCTCTCTACTGCCGCAGCATAACCCATCTTACCAGGAGCAGGAGAAAAAATAAACCTGAAAAAGTAAGTCATTCAGTTATTCTCTTTTCCATCTGATGGCCCGAATAAATGTGCAGTCGTTTGACCCTGTGGAAATGCTGAGCTACCAACTGAACCCTCTTTCTCATGACCAACATATCAACCACTTTACACTTGACCAACATTCTTACACAGGTGAACGTTCCAGATGTGTAACACCAAGATAAAAATTAATGATCCATCACAGTACCAATCACTGACTTACTTACCAAACTAATAAAAATGTCGTGACATAATAGACGGTATTTAGTAGTCCATATGACAAAACACCAGCAGCACCATACCTCTTTAGTCTTTCAAGCAAGCTGACACAGAAGCAGTGTAGATAATGGTTATAAGTTGTAATATTAGCACTGTAAAATGAATATGCCATTCCAAGCACAGTTATCATAATTCACGAAAATATCTGAAAGCCTGAATTTCAAATATATTAGTTTCATTCTCAACAAGAAGTGTGCATGCAAAATGCTTCTATATCCAGTTTGCATCTGAAATCATTAACCCAGTGCCAATACAAGTTTTGCTCATAAGCTCTGTAAGGTGTTTCCTTCTGCCAACAGTTATTTCAATTAAACATTAACAGCAGATTGTTGCTTATAATCACAAGAAGCAAGATAGACCCAAGATCATCGACTTCAGTGAGGTATTCACTCATGCAATACAATTTGGTGCAAAGTGCAAGCTCCAGCCAAAATTTCTAATGAGACATTGCATTTCATGAAACAAATGTGCCTAAATGCTATGCCATAGAAATTTAGATAGCGAACAACAGTGGTATCATTATTAGTCATTGGATTTACAGTTAGCTGTGAATACTCTTTAGAGGAGAAACTCCTTGTTGAGTATTTGCCATGATTTATCGAACCTGTACGACAGAAAAAAATAGTTCAGCTCTAAAAGAACACATGCAAGTTGAAGAATAAAATTGGGCCTATTCGGTGTGACTTGGCAGCCAGCAGCTACAGTAGCAATATACAATTTCTACTGTAGCCGCTGCAGCAGCAGCGCTGCACAGCCGTTGTAGTTGGCCAGCCAAACACACCCAATAAGTGCACAGCGCAAACATCATACCAGTGGAGCCTCCTTGTGACTGCTCGGTTCCTTCAGTATTAAACACTTCAATCTAACAAGGAAATGCAGCCAAGTTAATTTTTATTTCAATCACATTTACTCAACCTCAAAAGTTGTTTTTTAACCAGTGTTTCTTTTTTACACTAAGAGTTCATGCCCAATAGTTTTTTTCCTTAAATAATTATGTATTTAGATTTGCAAAAAAAGAATAATAATAAGCCCATTGCACCAGTGTTACATTGGCTAGATAAGTTTGTAAAATGAAAATGCACTTCCATATTCCGAAGGTATAAACAAGCTGTTCTCTGCACATAACAAAACTGCAACTAATTTCAGCAATCAACATTTCCTCTAATCTCACCGCAACATAAATCCTCTTTTAGCTTCACCACACAAATGCCAGAATGATCATCTTCAGATATCAGTAAGCAGCCAACACGTGTGTGCTTGCTTCAAGCATTATATAGAAAATTCTCAGTTAACGTTCTTACAACAAGACCACTCATCTTTTTTAGTAAAGTCAACCAGAGACCATTACTGTGGTTTTACGTCTAAACCTAACTTTGCTTGCAAATTTTCTTGGCGGCTACTTTTTTTTCCCTTGTTATGCACCAGTTCCTTTTTTTTCTGACAGGTGGTTCCTCTTTCAAAAGCAGAATAACTGAATGATGCCTACATTGATATACTGCCAGAATCATTCCTGATATAAAGAAAATTAGATACTAACCCTGTCCAACAGGACCAACCCATACTCCCATTTCTACAGAATAACCCTTTTCCGCATCTCTATCGGTGTGCCACATTTACACTAACAACATGAGCCTAAAACGAACGCCCAGCATCAATTTTGGCAACTGGCATGACCCTATGTGTGACGAACGACCCACATTTCGCTTTCCTGTAGTTCACACAGAAAATTCGATAATACAGCTAGCGAGAGCATTCTTCCCAATCTAGCCAAATCCAAAGCGAACCCGCGCAGCACCGTTCGATTAAAAACCGAGTAAACGAAACGAAAAGAAGCCGCTCTACCTTGCCAGGGTCTTGGGAGCACCGGACGAGAGGCGATGCTGGTGGACGCCGCCGGAAGGAGACGGAGGAAACCCTAGAGGCGTCGCCGAGCGAGCCAAGGCCGCAGATGGATGTAGGGAAGGAGGAGGAGGAGGCACTGCTGGCGGCCTGAGAAGGCCGGAGCCGGGCGGTGGGCGGCGGCGCCGGGGAAGCCATGTCTCACCCCCGAGCCCACGCGTCGCGGACTCGCGGTCAAGCTCGTCACAGCTCGTCCGTGGATTAGCGCATCTCCCCCCCCCCCCCCCCCCCCCTCTTTCTTTTTGTTTTTCTCCTTTCTGTATTTTTCTTGTTCTAATTAAAAATGGAAGAAGAAACGCGACCACCCTCTTTATGAGCTCGTGACTACGTAGTTCAGAGTATTTTATAAAATATGGATATGTTTGGTAATCCCTCTATTCCTAAATAGAAGGCGTAGCTATATTTTATTAACGTTTCAGAATATAGGGCGGTATTTACTTTTGCTCCCGTTTGATGTGCATGCAAGCATTGAAAACTATCATCTCCTCTCCTATTCCTATGCATGCAGAAGATATCGGGTCAACAAGCAGTGTTGGCGATTGGTTGCAGGCAAAGTGAATGAAGCGTAAATGAGACAAAAATTAATCACTGCAATTGGTATTTATACTATTTCTTGGTCTCTGTGTTGTGAACAGTTACGCCTTGTATTAAGTAATGGAGGGAGTATAACGCAAGCTTCTAATAAATTTAACTTATATAGTGCTGGAGTTCAATTAAACATAGTATAGATTCAATAAAAACTGAAGCGGAACAGAATAGTTCTGAAAAATTGTGCTAGAGTGCAAAGCGGGGAAAAGGCACCTCTAATTCCCACTAGATTCTAGATTATAGTGCTATCCATTGTTTTTCATCGGCACTACATGAAGAATATCGCAGCCCTACCCCTTCTATTCCCACTTGCACTATCTTGAGCGGTGACTCCGATCCCCAACCCAACCTCGTCTCATCTTGCCTTCTCTCTCGCAACATAGAAAGAAGGGGAGGGTAAGAGAAGTTGGTGCATGACGGCGGTGAAGGTGGTTCCCTCCCTCACTTGGTCATTGTCACCCACCAGTCAATTGCGCATCGGAGAGGCCTTGTTTGACGAGTGTGTGGATCAGAGGGTGTGGGACCACGTGGGGCGCTGGCTCACCCAATGTGTTTATTCGCATGAGAGGCCTTATTTGACGAGTGCCAGCTACACAGATAAGTCTAGATTGGACGTAATGATGCCCAATCTTTAAAGATGACAAGGTGATTTCCACCTTGGCTGGATCAGTTTACATTTATGACACCTTCATCTGTATTTGATTTTGTCTTTTCTCCAACTCAAAATCTCTTCGTTTTCTTGGATTCAATTTGTCTTACCATAAACAGAACATGTGTGTTAGCCCTAATTTGTTCATAAGATTGGGTTTGGGGAGGGATTTTTGGTTAGCTTTGTTCATATGTTCATGGTTCCATCTTTATTGCCTTGTTACTGAATGTTGTGTGTCTGATTCGGTTCATTTCTTTGGTTACATCTTTATTGCCTTGTTACTGTATGTTGTGTGTCTGATTCAGTTCGTTTCTTTGGGAGAGATGAGCGAAGGGCACGCAGGGGTAGGTTGGAACGTGAGCGAAGCGGACACTTGCGCGACGGACGAAAACATACTATACGCCTGCTTAGTTGGTGAAATGAAATTTTTTGGGTGTCACATCGAACGTTTGACCGGATATCGGAAGGGGTTTTCGGACACGAATGAAAAAACTAATTTCATAACTCGTCTGTAAACCGCGAAACGAATCTTTTGAGCCTAATTAATAAGTCATTAGCACATGTGGGTTACTTTAGCACTTATGGCAAATTATGGAATAATTAGACTCAAAAGATTCATCTGCAATTAGTTTTTTTAATCTACATTTAGTGATCCATACATATCTTCAAAGATTCGATGTGATGTTTTTGGGAAAAACTTTTTGGAACTAAACATGCCATAAAGAGAACTTCCAATGTATAATTCTGTAGTTCATGTATTGTAAGAGAGCAATGTATCAGTTGTATCACATTTTGAACATTTATGTGTTGTCTAATTATTATGTGAGCATATTTTTGTATGAAATTATATATGTACCACATATTAACATTTTAAATGTATTGGTAGCTTCTTTTTTTTTCTTTTGTGAGAAAATTTGTACAGTATTAAGAGCAAAATTTTGAATGCACGCATACGTCTATAATTTTGTGCACCTAAATATTGGGAGGAGTATTATTCTCCTGTCAAAAAAAGTGTATTAGGGGGTGTTTAGTTCCAACACAAAAATTTTATACCTTGTCACATCGAACGTTTGAACACCTGCATAAAATATTAAATACAGGCTAAAAAATAACTAATTTCACAAATTGCGACTAATTTGCGAGACGAATCTTTTGAGCCTAATTGCTCCATGATTTGACAATGTGGTGCTATATTAAATATTTGCTAACAACGAATTAATTAAGTTTAATAAATTCGTCTCGCAGTTTACAGGTGGATTCTGTAATTTGTTTGGTTATTAGACTACGTTTAATACTTCAAATGTGTGTCAGTATATCCGATGTGATACGGCAAAATTTTTTACCTCTAAGATGTAAACACAGCCTTATTATAGAAAAAAAAGAGTACTCTCTCTATCCAAAAAGAATCAACGGACAACATGCTGTGTTTTTCCCCACCATTCCCAACTCACCTTCATTGTGTTCCGCACGCACATTTTAAAACTGTTAAACGATACTTTTTCGCAAAGAAATAGTTTCTATACAAAAGTATTAATTAAATTTATAAAAGTACCAAATACTTAATTGAAAAAAATATGTCGCTCTATTTTATGTGCGCCTATCTCCCGAACACGGTCTTATCCAAATTAAAATTTTGACCCAAGGACATAGATATTCAAATTAAGGCCTGGTTTACTTCCCAAAAATTTTCTAAAAACATCACATCGAATCTTTGGACACATGCATGGAGCATTAAAATATAGATTAAAAAACTAATTGCACAGTTATGGGGGGAATCGCAAGACGATCTCTTGAGTCTAATTAGTCCATGATTAGTCGTAAGTGCTACGATACCCACAAGTGCTAATGGTAGATTAATTAGGCTCAAAAGATTCGTCTCGTGGTTTCCAGACGAGTTATGAATTAGTTTTTTCAAATATACGATGTTACATCACATTTTTTCCCCCGAACTAAGGGCCCCTTTGAATCACAGGAACGAAAAAACGGAGGAATAGGAAAAACATAGAATTCTGGTAGGAATACAAGTGTAAAATAGAGGATTGCAAAACATAGAAAAAAACATAGGAATGACCGTTTGATTGAGCCGCAGGAAAAACATAGGAATTTGAGGAGGGATAAAATTTCCTTTGAATTAAATGGGGGGGGGGGTAAACAGCCTCAAGTACACAGGACTGTAGCCACTCACCTCCCAGATAGTGTGGCCTGGGCCCACACACTTCAATTTTTGAACCGTTGCACGCCATCTCCCGAAGGAGTGGGTCCCACCACCCAGTGCAGGTCCCAAAGTGGGAGCGCAACACGGCTTTTCCCCTTCATTCCCGTCCCCTATATGCGTTCAAAAGAAAAACCTCCCATCTCGTCTCCCCCCTCCTCCGCCTCCGCCGCGCCGGCCGCCGATCTCCATCTCCTCGCGAGCAGGGAGCGCGGCAGGGGCGCCGTCGTCCTGCTGCTTCCCGCCACAATCCTGGCTGGTGAGCATTCCGCATCCTCTCTTTTTCTCTCGCCCACTTTTTTTCTCGATCTTTTCTTTTCTTGGAGTGTCGAGTTCACGTGCGTTAAACCCTAGCTTCTCTAGCGTTTCCTATTGATTTGCCTTAACATTAATACGAGTACTAACGGCTTGTTTTTGTTTGTTCTCCAAAAAGTTTGGAGGGGCGGTTTAAGAAGGTTCATCTGACCCCCACAATGTCGGAAGTTAGATCCGTCCCTGGGATGAAGGTGGAAGCATCCCCGGCCGCGGCCGCCGCTGCCACCGTGGATTCCCCGACATCCGTTCTGGAGGATGATGAGGTGATTTATTTGTGAATGCCTTTTTTTTTTTCAGATATCTCTATTTCTGTTTTATGCTTCCGCATTTCGGGTTTTTTTTGGTTGACGTTGAGTTGTTGTTGTTAGAAGATTTCTGAATGTAAGAATGGGGATGTCTTGGATACCACCGAGGCGATTAAGCAAGAGGAGGATCATCTCGATGTGCTTATTGAGGAGAAAGTTGATGGTTTTGTGGATGCAAGTTCTTCCCTGAATGTGGAACCTGCGGCTAACAACAGTGATTTGTCACCTCTCACTGTGCCGGTGAAGGAAGAAGGTCAGTTATTGGAGCCTGTCAAGGAGGAAAAAGCTGATGATTTTGTGGATGCAGTTCCATCTCTACCGATTGACCTTGAGGCCAAGAATGGTGATGCATCCCTCATCACTGATGCGATGAAGGAGGAGGAAGAGAAGTTGCACGACGCCCGGGTTAAGGCTGAAGAAGAAGAGGTAGCACGGAAGAGGGAAGAGGCTGCAAGACTTGCTTTTGATCCAAATGCACGTTTTAACAAGTTGGACGAGCTACTATCACAGACACAACTCTATTCAGAATTTCTACTTGAGAAGATGGAAACGATCGCTGATGTATGTATTGTTTCTCCACGCGCCACATGACTCTTTTTGCTTCTTCCTATGCTTTATTTGATTTTTCTGTTGATGGTTGTGCTGTTGGCTAAGGTGGAGGGCGTCCAAACTCATGCTGAAGAGGAGCCAGTAGAAGAGAAGAAGAATGGGCGTGGCAGAAAGAGGAAAGCTACTTCTGCACCAAAGTACAATGATGTGAGTTCTAGCTTCATACATGGAGTAATTTGGTTTCCTATATTCTAAATTAATGGGATATGCTTATGTTGACCTTGCTCATCTGGATTTCAAATAGTACTAATGTTGCCAGTTTTTCAATATTTACTAAATAGCTTTCCACCTGTAGTACATTGTTAGAAAATCATAATTAGAAGGGGTGTTTAAAGACTCGCCATAACACATTTGCAACCGCCTTCTTCTGGTACCCTGATATTTTTAGGGGTTTGAATGTGGGGCACAAATTTGTGGCAAATGTTAGCGATTAGTATATCAATCAAATAGGCTCTTTTGACTGTTAGATAGTGAACCAGGAGGTTAGAGAAGCAAGAAAATACCAGAGTAAAATGCTCAATACTAGTGAGTGTCAGAGGAAAATCACCTTATATA